AATAAGCAAGTATAGCAACAGGTTATGTTGATTAAAATATTCCTAATCCTAGTACACCTGTTACATGCTCTAATGATTCTTCTACTTGTGGAGCTTGTGGTTCAACAAACACTATATCAACTTTATTCACTCACGGAACTGGAAATAATTGTTATGTATCCGACTGTACTGCATCAGTAGTAGGATCTAATCTAAATGGTTGGGTTTGTAATTCTTGCAGCTCAGCTACTGGAAGTGGAAATATTACTACAGGTTAATTCTTTAATGGTACAACCTGTGTAGCAAGTTGCCCTCCAGGATAATAAGCAAACTTATCTACTGGATGGGTTTGTTAACCTATAACAGCTAATCCTGGATCTGATGTTACATGCTCTAATGATTCTTAAACTTGTGCAGGTTGTGGATTAACAAGCGATATTCAAAAATTATTCATTCATGGAACCTAAAACAAATGTTCTGTTGTTGACTGCTCAGCTGCAGTGGTAGGGTCTAATCTGAATGGCTGGGTTTGTAACTCTTGCAGCACAGCTAAAGGGCAAAATAATATAGCTACTGGCTAATACTACAATGGTACAACATGTGTAGCAAGCTGTCTCAGTGGTTAATCAGCAAGTGCATCTACTGGATATGTGTGTAAAGCAGATTCTAGCCCTGCTCCAGTCAATAATAATGCATCTCAATCAAGCATAATCTGTTATGCTTTAGTATTTGCAATGTTAAAACTTTTAATTTGAAAAAATTATTAGATTAATAAATTATATTTATTCATTTATTTTATTGGAATAAGTAAATAAATATATGCAAAATTTTTATTATTCAGATGTTAAATGTTTATTTTTTGTTACATTTATTTGAAATAATTTTTATTTATAAGTTTTTTTTAACTTTTTTATAAAAAAATAGATAAAAATTTATGATTTTCTTTTTTCTTGTAATTAAAATAATTAAAACGAAATTATTAAGATAATAAAGCTTAAATCATAGTTATTAATTTAATTTTTAAACACTCATTGTAAGTTATCTTTATAAAATATAAATATAATTTTGTGGTATTAAAACTATTTTTAAATGTATAAACTGTTGTTTATATATCAATTAATACTGATTGAGATTGATTTTTTTTTTTCATAATAAATAAAAACAGAACTAAATTTTCCAAACTAAATGATTTATCTTAAGTTATAATAAAATGAATTTATACCAAATTTTATTTATGTTGTGTTAATTTTCTTTATAACATAAACTTACTTCATCTTGTTTTCTTTCTTCATATAAATTTTGATATTCTTATTTTATTTTATTGTTGTGTATCAAATTTAAAGATTATTTCATTATATTTCTAAAAGTTTTTGAATTTGTAATTTTTCTAATGAAAGCTTAATTTATTCAATTTAATTTACTTTTAAATTATTTTTATTTTTAATTAAATAAAAAATCAATTTTATATAATCTAGGGAGTAATTAGTATGAATTTTAAGTTGTAGTTTTAGTAAAAACTGTATACATTTTTTAGAAATTATTTAATTATTAAATAATTAATATTTTGCTTTAAAATAATTAAGTATATAATATTATAAAATATAAATCTATTTTAGCTTAAAAATTTAATATCTGAAATTAAATATTTCAAATAATAAATCATAAAATAAATTTTTTTAATAAAAGTAAAATAAAATTATTTAATTAACTTTTCAAATTGTAGAAGAGTAATGAAATTTTATTCTGATCATGAGAAGCTTATTTTTAACCATTTTTCTCAAAATCTTACAACTACCCTTAGATCTGCTTAGAAAAACGAAGATGTTAATCCACTTGATTGAATTCTTTAAATTTATTTTAGTGTACATTTTATTTAAAGTAGAAAAAAGTGTATATATGATTATAAATAATTAAAGCATGTTGGATATTTTGATAAGTAAATTGAAGTGGGTAGAGTTTAGAATGATTATTTTATTAATAATTTCATTTAGAAAATTCACTCTTAAAAATATTTTTTATTTTTAAAAGCTTGGTATTATTTATTAATTTTGATTTACTAAAAGCTGGTTTTAAGGTTATTTATTTATTTGAAATTAGCAAAAAAATTGAGCTTCTCTAGCCTTCATTATCATAATTCACAACAGCCTTTTTTAATTTTGAGTATTTTGATTTCGAACTATACGTAAACTGATTTATCTATTATTCAAGATAATTTTTGATTTGATGGTAAAATTATTATACTTTGATTTATTTTTGATTGAATAAATTTGGTTCATTTATTTCAAATTTTGAATAATAATTAATTTTTCATTAAAGATGAAAATATGATATTAAATACATCTAATCAGAATAACTTTGTGATCTTAATTCATATATTGAAGATTTACTTTATTTTTATTTTCGAAATTCTAAAGGAAAATGCAAACAGAGAATTTTGAAATTTTGAAAGAAAATATTTTTAGAGCAAAATTAGCATCTAAAAATGCTTTAGGTTGGTGTAAACAATTCATATTATTAAATATGTAATATATCTATATAAACCTTTACAAAAATTTTATTTTATTTTCTAAAATAAATAATTTTAATGGTATTAAAATATTTAATTTGAGTTATTTAAATATCTAAAAATACAAATTTCAGTATTCTAGTTAATTTATAAAGAAATGAAAATAGAGACATTATAATTCTGAACTTATTCTGAAAAGATTTTGAATTAAAATTGAATTATTTTCATTTCCATAAAAAAAAAAAAACATCAATAACTAAACTCATTAAATTAATTTTAAATAAATTTATTATAAAATAATTAAAATATTTCAGTATTAGTTAATTATTTACAATCACAATAATGCGATTTAAAGTAGAATATTTATAATAAATTATTAAACAATTGTTATAAACTTTACATAGACACAATATTCTTTATATTTACTTCAATTTTTCTATATAAAATCATAAATCTGTAAATATTATCAGTACTTTATGTAAATTTCCTTAATTATTTCTATTTAATTAAAATTAATATTTTTTTTTGGATTTTTAATCATTTAGGTTACAAATATCAATTTATTTCTGCCTTTTATAAATATTTGTAATCCAATTGAATAATTATGTTTACATACTTAATAGAATTTTAATTTTAAAAATATTATTATTAGTTAATGAGATGAATTAGCTTTATCAGAAGTAACAAAATGGTTAAATGAAATATCAATAAAACTAATATCTGACATCAATAATTTACATACTTATTTTTCTCAAAAGTAGATTTAAATAGCTTTTGAAGGTAAAAAAAATTAAATTTAAAATTAATTTATGATGTATCTTTATAAATAAATTCAAAGTTTCAAGAATTTTGTTTGATTGGTATTATAATTTGAAAACTGTAACTCCTTTTGATTTATAATTAATTTAAAAAAAATGTATTCAATTTGATTTTAATAATTTTTTTTATTTAGCTGTAAACGCAAAATTGCATTTTAATACCCTAAATTAGATTGTAATCAATTTTATCTCAGAATTTATTAAGCTAATTTTTCAGAATCATTAAATCAATATTTCAGAAATAATTCAATTCCTTTTTCAGAATTGATAAGAAAATTAAAAAAATTTATTTTTATAACTTATTTCAAATTGTTAATTAAGTTTTAACTTGAAACAAATATATATATTGAAGAACTTATTGTTTAAATAAGAAAAGATATTGAATTTATTTGTGTTTTTAATAGTTATTTTTAAACCATAAAAAATATTTTATTTTGATTCTTTTCTTTACTTTGATAAAGAATTAATAAATGATTTTCCTTATTTTTGAATTTTAAGGCAAAAATAATTTCTTGTTAATGAAACAGTTTCTTATATAATTAATTAATAAAAAAATTTTGAAACTTATAATCTTTGATTTAGAAGGATTATTTTATACTTATCGCATTTATTTTTCTAAATTCAAATCAAATTTAGAAATACATTGTTTCAAAAATTTATTTTTAGGTAAATAGCATGCATGAGCACAAACAATCATAAAAAATGATTATTATTTAATTTGAATATATGAATGCTAACTAGTTCGCAATTAAAGAAGTATTCTTATACTTAATAGCTAATATACGATTATTTTTCAATGCAATTTTTTATTTAACTAAAGGATTTTTATAAATCCTATCCAAATCTTAAATTATATATGACAAATTTTATGATCCCTTTTTATTTTGCATATTTATCTAAAAAAATATGGAAAATTTAACAAGTCAGTTGAAAGAAATATATAATAAAATTCATAATATCATACCCATTTAAAATAAAAATGAAAGGTTTTTCTTATGTTTTAAGATATGTAGATAATCATAGAGACATATATGTCGATAAAAACACATGAGTCCAAACTGTAGAAATACATTTTATTTTGATCAAACTAAATCAAAAAAGGTATTTAATATTGCAATATTTTTGCTTATGATGAGCTAAATATTTTTAACTTCTATCAAATAAATAATTTTTTAAACCATATTAGTTACAAGATATTTGTTATTATATTAAAACATGATGCATCTAACTTATAGAATTATATTATTATTAAAAATTAAAAATTCTGTTTAAGATTTATAATGATTTGCCAATTATTTAATATTTCAGGATACAAATAAACACTAATTTTCTTTTTTTTAATTTGATGCCTTTAATTATATGATAGATATAATTAATGGATTCTAATTCGTTGCTATCAAATATTTAAAAGGAAAACTCAACATTAGTTATTTAATTTGTCTTGATGGGATTTCTAAATAAAAAGATATGAACCCTGTATCGCAAATTATTGTTTATATTTTATATTACCAATAAATTATTTACATTCGATACATAAATAATCTTGTTTTTTTCCAAATTAGTTACAAAATTAGTTTTGAAGTATTCATACTTTGATTGAAAACTGTAAAAAAAAAAATTACAATAAAAAAATATTTTAACTTTAATATTGCATTTAAACTTAATTAAGCTTTTATGTTTGATAAAACTATTTACTTTTTGTCTAATATTTTTCTTCTTACTAAAAATTAGAGGTAAAATAAGCAAATTTTATATTTAAAATTATAATACTGTAACATACTTTTTGTAAAATATTAATGTATTGTATTGTATTGTATGATAATTGCTTTATCAAACTGATTTACATAATAAAATTAAAAAATTTTTTCTATCAAATGAATTGAGAATATGGTTTGCATTAAATTTTTTCAGAATTTATCAAAAAATTTCATAATTAATCCATCATATTTTTAATAACTAATAATAAATTAATTTCTGTAACTTATTTTGTATTTTATTTGATTTTATGAAACTTAATCTAAAATAATTATGCTGATTTATATTTTTAAAATTAAATAAATTCTATTCTGAGTTATATATTTAGTATTTAAATTTTTTAACATTTCTAGATTGATTCAAAGGGAAGGGGCAAAATTAGTTTTTTAATTTATCTAGATAGGGTTTCTATGTTAAAAATATGAATTGTGTATGCCAAATTATTACTAATATTTTATATAATCAATTAATTAAGTGTAACTGATATAAAAATAATGGTTTTTCCCTCAATTAGCTACAAAATTTGATTTATCAGATTATGCATTAGGTATTAAAAACTTGTAATGTAACTTTCTAAATTATATTTTAATCAAAATAATTGATTGAAATTTTAGATTGGGCTATTAGGAAAATATTTAAATAATTAAAGCAAAGCATCTTATAAATATTAGGTTTTTGTTTTCTCAGTTACTTAATTTTTGAATTCTTTAAAGAATATTTTTGCTTTTTTATGAGTGAATAAATCATATTTATATTTACAAACTGTAAAAAAATATTTTAATATAATAAAATATTTTAACTTTTTATATTGCATTTAAACTTACTTAAGTTTTTAATTGGATAAAATTATTTATTTTTAGTTTAATATTTGTTTTCTTACTAAAATTCTGAGATAGTAAAGCAAATTTTAGATTTAAAATTTTAATACTGTAAGTCATTTTTTGTAAAATATTAATTATAACTCTTTATTAAACCAATTTGTGTAATTTAATTTTTATCAAAGAAACTTTTTATCTAGAAAAATAATAACAGAATTCCATTTAATATTTCTAAATTATTCTATACCATAATTAATAATTATTGTAACTGGATATTTCTACATTAGACAAAAATCTAATGAAAACAAAAGTTTTAATAAATTATTCAAATATATTATTTGTTTACACACTAAATAAAAGCAATCAAGGTAAATCTAACTTTAATTTCAATAATAATCTTTTTTTGTTGTAATCATTCAAAACTATTATTAACCTAACAGTTTCAAATTAATCTTTAAGAATTCTTGTTCTAATATTTGATTTTATAATATTTAATTAAAAAAATAAATATTAAAAATACATTTTTGAAATGAAAAGCTTAACTAATTTGATTATCATAAGTTGCGTCATGTTTATATTAGCGGATGCTGCTAATGTTGGTGATTAAATTACTTGTAATAAAGGTGCATAATCATGCGATCTATGTGCTTAAGGCTCAGCTGCAATTTTAAATCTTTTTTAACTTACTGGTTCTTATTGTTAGGTTAAAGATTGTTCTAAAAGCTCTGTTGGAAATAACTTAAATGGCTCAGTTTGTGCCTCTTGTTAAGCTACAGCAACTGATATTACTCCACTAGGTCCTTACTTTGATGGTACTTAGTGCGTTTAAGAATGTAGTCCAGGTTTGTATGCAAGTGATCTAAATGGTTTTAATTGTTAAGTTGCAAATCCAGGCTAGCCAGTTAATTGCTCTATGAGCTAAAGTTGCTATGAATGTGGTTTAAATAATTTCACTATAAATTAATTTAATTTCGACCAAAATTCAAAATTGTGCAATGTCTTTGATTGCTCTTCTAATGCAGCAACTATTTTGAATGGTTGGGTTTGTAACTCTTGCAAATCAGCTACAGGAACTGGTAATATTCCTAAAGGCTAATATTATGATGATATTAATAAAACTTGTGCAGATACCTGTCCTCCAGGTTAATCAGCAAGTGAAGATACATAATTTGTTTGTTCCCCTCCTCCTAATCCTGGTACAGAGGTAGGGTGTTCTACAGACTAATCAACTTGCAGCGGATGCGGAGATAAAAATTAATATTTAAGAATATTTAATTATAAATCTGGTAATAATTGCTCTGTGAAAGATTGTCATGCAGCTACTATAGGACCTTTCCTGAATGGTTGGGTATGCAACTCTTGTAGTTAAGCTTCAGGAGATGGAAATATTCCTAAAGGTTAATATTTTGATGGTACTACTTGTGTAACAAATTGTCCTGATGGATATTCAGCAAGTGCTTCAACAGGCTATACTTGTTATAAAAACCCCAAACCGGTGGCATGTTCTAAAGATTCTTCTACTTGTGCAGGATGTGGGGATACTCCTAGTCTTTAAAATCTATTCACTTACTCAGGTGGAAATACTTGTACAGTTAAAGATTGCTCTTAAAAAGCAATAGGCGCTACTTAAAATGGTTGGATATGCTAATCTTGTAGTGCTGCTACTGGTATTAATCTTATTCCATCTGGTTAATACTATGGTAAATCATGTATTAGTAATTGTGGTAAAGGATATTCAGTAAGTCAAGCTACTGGATTTAACTGTATAAAATAAAATCCAGGTTAATTAGTTGCCTGCTCAAATGATAATAAAACATGTAATGGATGTGGGTCAACAAATGATATTTAGAAATTATTTGCTATTGGAAAAGGGTCCACTTGTGGTGTTATTGATTGCTCTTCTGTAATAGTGGGTTCTAATTTGAATGGTTGGGTTTGCAACTCATGTTCAACAGCTGTAGGAACAGGAAATATTATTTCAGGTTAATATTACGATGGAACAAATTGTGTAACAACTTGCCCTATCGGTTCAAATGCAAGCAAGGATACTGGTTTTGTGTGCTTATACCCTCCTAGCCCAGGTGCTTCTGTTGCTTGCTCTAGTGACTCTTCAACTTGTGGAGGTTGTGGAACAACAAGTAGTATTTAAGGCCTATTCAAATATGGAACAGGGAAAAACTGCTCAGTTACAGATTGTAATTTGATGATAGTAGGGTCTAATTTGAATGGTTGGGTTTGTAATTCTTGTAGTTAAAGTTCTGGAGTTCATAATATCGCTAAAGGTTAATATTACAATGGTAAGACTTGTGTAGATAGCTGTCCTACTGGTTAATAAGCAAGTATAGCAACAGGTTATGTTTGTTAAAATATTCCTAATCCTGGTACACCTGTTACATGCTCTAATGATTCTTCTACTTGTGGAGCTTGTGGTTCAACAAACACTATATCAACTTTATTCACTCACGGAACTGGAAATAATTGTTATGTATCCGACTGTACTGCATCAGTAGTAGGATCTAATCTAAATGGTTGGGTTTGTAATTCTTGCAGCTCAGCTACTGGAAGTGGAAATATTACTACAGGTTAATTCTTTAATGGTACAACCTGTGTAGCAAGTTGCCCTCCAGGATAATAAGCAAACTTATCTACTGGATGGGTTTGTTAACCTATAATAGCTAATCCCGGATCTGATGTTACATGCTCTAATGATTCTTAAACTTGTGCAGGTTGTGGATTAACAAGCGATATTCAAAAATTATTCATTCATGGAACCTAAAACAAATGTTCTGTTGTTGACTGCTCAGCTGCAGTGGTAGGGTCTAATCTGAATGGCTGGGTTTGTAACTCTTGCAGCACAGCTAAAGGGCAAAATAATATAGCTACTGGCTAATACTACAATGGTACAACATGTGTAGCAAGCTGTCTCAGTGGTTAATCAGCAAGTGCATCTACTGGATATGTGTGTAAAGCAGATTCCAGCCCTGCTCCAGTAAATAACAATGCATCCCAATCAAGCATAATCTGTTATGCTTTAGTATTTGCAATGTTAAAACTTTTAATTTGAAAAAATTATTAGATTTAATAAATTATATTTATTCTTTTATTTTATTGGAATAAGTAAATCAATATATGCAAAAATTTTTTTATTCAGATGGTAAAAGTTTATTTTCTGTTACATTTATTTGAATTATTTAGTTGTTATATCATAAGTTGTTTATTGATTTTTTTATTTTAAAATAGATAAAAATTTATGATTTTCTTTTTGCTTGTAATTAAAATAATTAAAAAGAAATGTTTAAGATAATAAATAAAGCTTAAATCATAGTTATTAATTTAATTTTTAAATACTTGATGTAAGTTATTTTTATAAAATTTAAATATAATTTTGTGGTATTAAAACTATTTTTAAATATATAGACAGTAAGTAGGTTATATATTAATTAATACTGATTGAGATTGATTTTTTTTTTTTTCATAATAAATAAAAACAGGACTAAATTTTTCAAAAATGACTTATCTTAAGTCTTAATAAAATGATTTAATATTAAATTTTTTTTAAGTTGTTTTAATTCTCTTTATAACATAAACTTACTTCATCTTGTTTTCTTTCTTTATATAAATTTTGATATTCTTAATTTATTTTATTGTTGTTTATAAAATTTAAAGATTATTTCATTATTTTCTAAAAGTTTTTGAATTTGTAATTTTTCTAATGAAATCTAAATGTATTCAATTTAATTTACTTTAACTAAATTGTGATAAAAAGATTTTACTTAATATTTTTAATTAGATAAAAAATCAATTTTATTTACTAGAGGGAGTAATTAAAATGAATTATAGGTTGTAGTTTTAATAATAATTATATGCATTTTTTAATAAAAAAAACATCTAATAAGATTAAAAATATCTCTATGATAATTTATTTTTCGTTTAAATTTAGTGTAATATATATTTCCATATCATATAATCATCTGCTTGAATAGAAATATACAATTTATTTTAAATAATAGTTTCTTCTACAAAAACATAAATTATCCATTTATTCTTTTGCATTTCCTTTTTTATTTTTAACCTTTTCTTCTTCCATTTTAGTCAACTATTATTTTTAAATTTTCCTTCTTATGTATATTTATATCTTTAATAAATTTATATATAATTCATTGATTGGTAAATTTTTTAATCATAGCTTAATAAAAACTAAGGAGTATTTTAATAAAATTTCAAGCTAATTTAATAAATTAATTCTTTAACTTTTAAATTAGAATAAATATTCTATTTTTATTTTGATATTTGTATTCTAAAATTTAAGAAAAAAGCTATTAACATTTTCTAAAAGTTCACAGAATATTTTATTTTGAATTGAAATTCCTAAAATTAGAATATAAAAATTCCGAATATTTTCAAAAAATAAAAAATTTTTTAAAAGTTTAAATTTAAAAAACTTTATAAAAATTTGAATGTATTAATAAATTGATTTAAAATTAATAGAATTTTAAATCAAAATCTATAAAATATATTTTCGTGCTTTAAATCAATTATTAAAAAATAAAAGCCTTTCTAAAAAATAGTGACGCCACTAAATTTTAAAAATGAATTTAGCTTATCTTTTTTATTTTATTCTGTTTTATTGTGATTGTTATTTTTATTTTTTATAATTCATTATTTTTACCTAAATTTCTATTTTATACTCAATTACGTTTTTTATAAAATTATTATATTAAGTTTTTTATTATTTTATTCTTTAAGTTATAATCTCTATTACTTTTTTATTCTTTTTCACCTTTTATATTTTAAATAGTTTTTGATTTGATTATATGAACATTATAAAAATATTATCATTCTATTAATTTAAAATACTACTGATAAAATTAATTTAAATTAAGATATTTTTACTTAGTTTATTCATGCATTATATGATATATAAATTTAATTAGAATTATTAATAATTGTTTACAAAATATATAAAAACATATATAAATATCTAATATATTACTTGTAGATCTTTATCTTATCTTTAACTTAACTACATAATCTTAATTAACAAATAATGAATGAATATAATAAACTTTTATTGCCTTATTTTACAATGAAATAAATTTTAATGATATATATTTTTGAAATAGCTCATCTAAAAATTTATTACTACAACAAATAAAATACATAATCAATAGTCTCTAAAATTTAATAAAATCTGTAGACAATTTATTTAATTTACTTATATATTTGAGGTTTATTTAAATAGAAATTGATAATTATCAATAAATTATGAGTATTAATTTTTATAAAGCTTTTTCTTTTTCCAAATTTATAAAAAATAATAGCTTTCAAAGTATTTTTTTTGAATTTCATATTAAAAAATTATAAAAATTAAACTTTAATTTTTCCATAATTAATTTTTCTTTTTAGATGTTATAAAAAATTGCAAATTATTTTAAATCCTATTACATATTTCAAGAATATTATTAATAAAAAAATTGATTGCTAAAAGAATAGATATTATACATAATCAAAAGTCTCTAATCAATTATTAGCTAAAGTTTCAATCAAATAAAAACTATAGATTATTTGTTTAATTTATTTATGTATTCCGGATTTTTTAATAAGGAAAAAAGAAAATTAAAAAAAGATATCATTTATGTGATTGATTTCAATTCATTATGTTGATTTTGATTTAATGATGTATTAATTAATTAATTTTTTATAAGTTTTTCATTTTCAAAATCAGTTTCATAAAAAAATTGTATCTTCAAAAGAATTATTTTCATTTACATCATTAAATCATTAGATGAAATAAGTATTAACTTTGCCATAGCTAATATCTTTTTTTGAATATCTCTTTTGTTTTTACAAGATCCATATTATAAAATTTAAATAATTAAAGTAGTTTTTATTAAGATAATAAACTTTTTTCTATTGAATCTGAAAGGCATCTAGTCTATAAAAAAACAAAAAACCTTTATTTGATTCTGATGTATTAAAAAATAGCAACTCATTCTAAATCCTATTAGCTAATTCAAAAATGTTATTAATCTTGATATTGATTACTAAAACAATAGATACATTATAAAAAAATCTCTAATTGATTGTTAGCTAACATTTAAATCAAATAAAAATTATAGACTATTTGCTTAATTTACTTACATATTTCTGATTTATTAAAAAAGGAAGAAAAAAAATTTAAAAAAGTTATTATTTATGAGATATCAAATGATGAGGTATGATCTTAATTGAATTATCAATTTATTGATTTTTTATAAATTCTTTCATTTACCGAATTAGTTTCATAATTTGTATTATTATAAATAAATATTTTCTTCAAAGGAATTATTAATATTATTTGAATTACACATCGTTAATACATTAAATAAAATTTAAAAATAATTTTACCATATCTTATTTTGAATATATCTTCTGTTTTTTTTTATAAAATCCATAATATAAAATTAAAATAATTAAAGTAGTTTTTATAAAGAATATAATACTTAGATATCAACTAATAATAATCTATTGATTTGTGTTTTTTGTTGCGTTAATAAATTTTAAGATTTTTGTATTATTGAAAACATCTGGCTAAAAAATATGTAAGTAACCTTATTTGAATTCTGATATTTTAAAAAATTGTAATCATTCTTAATCCTACTTACAAGTTTCAAAATATTATCTAGATTTAAAAAAAAATACAAGGTAAATTGATTTGAAATAAGTTACAAATTTCTGAAATTTATATTAAAACTTGAACAATATTTTTTGTTACTTACCCAATTATATTTTAAGGGAATTTTAGATTTGGAATGATTTTTCAATCATAAATTGTATTAGAATGCAGGTAAAATTTAATTGTTTAGTTTCAAATTTTGTAATCTAGATATCTCTAACTAACGCTTAAACCTATAAATCTTATATTCTATTTCAAAATAACTAAAGGATGGATAAATGAATGGTTTCTAATTCTTTGCTATAAAAATCTTAAATCAAAAATCTACTCTAATTTTTTAGTTTATTTCGTTGGAATTTATTAAAAAAAAACAATGAAAAAAGATATGAATTTTGTAAGGCAAATTAGTTATTACATTTTATGTATTGGATTAATGATACATGATTAAATTACAATTAACAATATTTATTTCAAAATTAATTGGAAAGTTTACTTTATTTGATTAAAGTTAGGCGTATATTTTTAATATTTTTTAATTTACCTTACCCGATAATTTGAATATTAATGTTACAGATTAAATAAGAATTTGGGAACTAACTATTTAGCACTTATTTAAAACATTAGAATACAAATTTAATTTCATTTTTCTATTAAATATTAACTTAAATGTTTGGAGGATTATTTTATCAACCCTATTTAAAAGCTAGAGTTAAATATGTCTGTCTGTTACAAAAACAAAAATTTAAAAGCAAAAATATTTTAATCATTATGGAATATATAAATTATTATGGTTTCATTAAAATATTTTTCTCTTAAAAATTATTTTACTTCTAAAAATTTGAAGAAAAACAAAAAAATTTTTATACTTCTTTTACTAATTTAGCGCAATCGTTTTAAAATGAAAAGATGAATTGAATAATAATTTGTTAAAAAATCAAATTTAATTAACTTATTTTCTCAATTTTTTGTGGGTAAGAGAATCATGAGTTTGATTTGTAAGTATATTTTTTTTTAGAATTCATTTATTTAAACTTTCAGAATTTATCAATCATCATTGTTCAGAATCGATAAGAAAAATTATAATGAATTAATTTATACAACTTATTTATTTTTTTTTGTACTTTTTATCTGATTTTATGAAACTGAATAAAATAAATATTATTTTTAAAAATTATACTATACATTCAACTATAAAAGTTAGTTTTTAAATTTAAAATTTAAATTTTCTATTATTAATTTATAAAAGTATTCATTTTTTTGGCAATAGAATCAAACATTAAATTGTCTATTTTTATTAAATACTATTTAAGATTGTAATTAACTCTCACTTTTTTTCGAAAAATAATAACGAATACAATTTAATTACGTCATTATTACATACCTTAAATACTAAATTTTGTAACTGGAATAATCTGATTTATAAAAATTAGATTATTAAGGTATAAAGTAATTTAAATATTATTCCCATATATTATTTGCTCACTAAATTAAAGAGATTAAGGTAAATCTAATTTTAATTACCCAAAAAGTATCTTTTTTATTAGGCGATCACTCATAATTACTTTAAACTTAGTAGTTTCAATTTAAGCTTTAAGAATTCCAAGTAAATCTGTTTGACTTTTATAATAATTTAATTATAAAAACAATTTAAAAATAAATCTTTCAGAAATGAAAAAGTTTGCTAATTTAATTATCATAAGTTGCTTCATTCTTGCAGTAACAAGTTAACCTCCTATTGTTGGTAATAGCTTAGAATGTAATTTTAATGCCTAATCATGTGATAAATGTGCTTAAGGTTCTGCAGCAATTCTAAAACTATTTGATTATGTTAATGGCTTTTGCAGGGTTAAAGATTGTTCTTAACTTACTATTGGAAATAACTTGAATGGCTGGGTTTGTAATTCTTGTAGTTCAGTCTCTTAAGTACCTGGTATTATATCATAAGGATAATATTTTGATGGTACTAAATGTGTTAATTAATGTAGTCAAGGTTATTTTGCAAATAAAGAAAATGGCTTTGTTTGCTAATTAGCAAATCCAGGTTAACCTGTAGATTGTTCTTTTGACAAAACAGGCTGCAAAGCATGTTATTTTTTTATTAACTAAAATAATTAATTTAGTTTTGATAAAAATTCATAAATGTGCTTTGTTAATGATTGCTCTTCTAATGTAAATTCAAAATTGAACGGTTGGATTTGTTAATCTTGTAAATCAGCAAAAGGAAGTGGTAACATTCCGAAAGGTTAATATTATGATGGTTAAACTTGCGTAGACACTTGTCCTCAAGGTTTATCAGCAAGTCTAGATACACAATTTATTTGTTAACCTCCACCTAATCCAGGTAAAGCTGTAGGGTGTTCTAAGGATTAATCAACTTGTTAAGAATGCGAATTTGATTCTTCAGTTTTCAAATAATTTGCTTATTAATCTGCAAATAACTGCTATGTGAAAGATTGTCATGTTACAGCTTTATTAGGTCTTTCGAGTGGATGGATATGCAATTCTTGTAGCCAAGCTTAAGGAAAGGGAAATATTCCTAAAGGTTAATATTTTGACAATAGGAATTGTGTAACAAATTGTCCTATTGGGAAATCTGCAAGTGCTTAAACTGGATTTGAATGCTTAGCAAACCCTTAACCTACTCCATGTTCTCAGGATTTTTCAACTTGTACAGGATGCGGAGATACTGCTGCTACTTAATAACTATTCACTTATATAAATGGAAACAACTGTGCTGTTAACGACTGCTCTATTACTACAATAGGCTCTAATTTAAATGGTTGGATATGTAATTCTTGTAGTACTACTGAGATTCCTAATACTATTACAAAAGGCAGATATTATTACAATAAAAGCTGTGTAGATACTTGCCCTAGTGGCTATTAAGCTAGTGCAGCTACTGGATATAACTGTCAAAAAATTAATCCAGGTTCAGATGTTAGCTGCTCAAGTGGAAATTAAGCTTGTGGAAATTGTGGTTCAACAAGAGCTTAATAATTATTTATTTCTAGTAATAAAGGGTAAAGCTGCAAAGTTAAAGATTGCTCTTCTACAACAATTGGTTCGAATTTGAATGGTTGGATTTGTTAATCTTGTTTATCAGCTTCGGGTACAGGTAATATTGCTTCCGGTTAATATTTCGATGGTAGAAGCTGTGTAAATACCTGTCCTATTGGTTCTACAGTAAGTAAGGATACAGGATATGTTTGTTAATTTCCTCCAAGCTCAGGCAATCCAGTTCCATGCTCTAGTGATTCATAAACCTGTGGAGGATGTGGAACAACAGATGATATATAAGGCCTATTTAGTCGAGGAACTGGGAATACCTGCTAAGTAACTGACTGCAATTTGAGTGTAGTAGGATCTAATCTCAATGGTTGGGTTTGCAATTCTTGTAGTTAGACTAATTCAGATCATAATATCGCAAAAGGTTAATATTACAATGGTACTACTTGTGTAGATACTTGTCCTAAAGGTTAATAAGCAAGTGCAGCTACTGGATTCGTTTGTTAATATCCTCCTAATCCTGGATCTTCAGTTACATGTTCTAGCGATTCTTCTACATGTAATGGATGTGGATAATCAAAAAATATTTCAAGCCTATTTACTTATAAAACTGGCAATAACTGCTCAGTCAGCGATTGTAATTCTACAGTAATAGGATCTAATCTGAATGGCTGGATTTGTAATTCTTGCAGCTCAGCTTCTGGAGCTAACAATATTGTAAAAGGTAAATATTATAACGGTATAACTTGTGTAGATAGTTGTCCTGCTGGTTAGTAAGCAAATGCGGCAACAGGATTTATTTGTAAAAATATTCCTAACCCTGGTACTCCTGTTGCATGCTCTACTGATTCTTCAACTTGCAATGGGTGTTTTTCAAATCTTGGCTCAAGCATATTCACTTATGGAACTGGAAATAATTGTTATGTAACTGACTGTACTGCCTCAACATTAAGGGAATATAATGGTTGGGTTTGTAATTCTTGCAATTCAGCTTCAGGAGATGGGAATATTGCTGCAGGTTAATATTTTAATGGTAGGTATTGCGTATCAAGTTGTCCCTCTGGGTAATATGCAAACTTATCTACTTAATATGTTTGTTAACCAATAGTAGGTAATCCTGGCACTCCTGTTACATGCTCTAGTGATTCTTCAACTTGTGGGGGATGTGGTTAAACAAATGCAATTTAAAATTTATTCACATTTGGAGTAGGAAATAGTTGTTTTGTCGTTGACTGTACTGCTTCTACAGTAGGATCTAATCTAAATGGTTGGGTTTGCAACTCTTGCAGTTCAGCTACTGGAAATGGAAATATTACTGTAGGCTAATATTATAATGGTACGACATGTGTAGCAAGTTGCCCCCCTGGATAGTAAGCAAGTTTATCTACTGGATGGGTTTGTTAACCTATACCAAATCCTGGATCTAATGTTACATGCTCTAATGATTCTTAAACTTGCGCAGGTTGTGGATTAACAAACGATATTTAAAAATTATTTACTCATGGAACCTAAAACTAATGTTCTGTTACTGACTGCTCCTCTGCAGTGGTAGGTTCTAATTTGAATGGTTGGGTTTGTAATTCTTGCAGCACAGCTAAAGGACAAAATAATATAGCTACTGGCTAATACTACAACGGTACAACTTGTGTAGCGAGCTGTCCTAATGGTTAATCAGCAAGTGCATCTACTGGATATGTTTGTAAACCAGGCTCGAGTCCTGCTCCAGTAAATAATAATGCATCATAGTCAAGTATAATCAGTTATATTTTAGCATTTGTAATGTTAAAACTTCTAATTTGAAAAGTATATTAGTTTGGATAGATAAATTATATCTATACTTATATTTTATTGAAATAAATAATAAATTAGTATAAGCAAAATTGTTATTATTCAATATGTAAGTTTATTTTCTGTTGCATTAATTTGAATAATTAATTATAAATAGTTCTTTTTAAATAATCTATTTTATTTTAAAAAAGGATAAAAGTTTATGATTTTCTTTTACTTGTAATTAAAATAATTAAAAAGAAATATTTAAAATAATAAAGCTTAAATCATAGTTATTAATTTAATTTTTAAGCACTCACTTTAAGTTATCTGTATAAAGTTTTAAATATAATTTCGTGGTACAAAAACTATTTTTAAATATATAAATAAATACATACTGTATGCTGGTTTTCATTTCGACCAATTTAGATTAACTAATATTGATTGATTTATTTATTTTTCAAAATTAAATTTTTGATAAAAAAATTAAAATTTCTTCTTTAAAAATATATTAAATCTATGATTAAACATTTTTTATTTTATTCTTCTATCATGTTTGAAAATTGCATCAAAAACTTTTTTTTATTTCTTTTATTTTATTAAATAATATTTATTATTTTACTAAATGTATATTTCTTACTCAAGAAATAATTATCCTAGAATAGTTATACTTTAATTTAATATATTATTTATTAACTTAACAAAATATAAAATATGATATTTTAGGTTAAATTATTTAATTACAAAATATAATAAAATAAAACTAATTAGATTAATATTCAAATATTTTTATGTTTATTCTTTCTTTTTCACAGCTTGTTTATCTCCATCAGAATTTTATTCTAAAAACAACTAATCTTTTAAATTTAAGATACATGCTTTTTACTTATGATTGATTGTTGATTTCGTTATAACTTTTAATGTAAATTAGTGAATATTACTAAAAAAAGTTAAATAGAATAAAATTTTAAAATAAAATATTAAATTTTTAATCAATAAATAAAACAAAGTTGAGCTGAATAAAAAAAGAAAAATTAATCAAATAAAAAAAGATATTTAAATTAAAAGATTTAAAATGTTTTAAAATCATTTTTATAATAAAAAATATTTCTACCCAAAAAAAATAAGCGTTATTACCTAAGACCAATATTCAAATTTAAGAGATTAGTGCATTTTTCTAAACCTGAAACTATATTTGAAGCACCTTCATCACCGATTTTATTGCAACTTTTAAATATTAAAGAAAAGATATAGAGATAATCAGTTATCTATAGAAGGAAAAAATGAAGAAAAATATGAAATAAAAAGAAGTTAATTATTTAATAATAAAATCAAAAGTCCAAAATAAAAAATGAGTTAAATTAATAATTAAAAAAAAAAAAAAATAAATAATATCTAATAAAAAATTATCAGAGTTAGTTATATTGTTTTAAATATAATTTATTTTATAAAATATAACAATCCTAAGCAAATAAACTGCTTTTACCAAAATTCAAGTGTCAAATTTGAGAGATTTCCACACTTTCCTAAGCCAAAACTTAAGCCTGATGCACCTTCATCGTCAATTACATTTGCACTTTTTAATTATTAAGAAAAAATATTATCTTAATTAGTTAGTTAGAAGGAAAAAAATGAAATTATAAGAAATAATTCATTAATATTAAAATCAAAAGTTGAAAATGAAAAAATAGGTTAAATTATCAAATAAAAAACATTTAAGTGAAAAAAATGAAAGTTATATCAATTACAAAGCTAATACATTAATTTATAGAGTTTACTATATTGTTTTAAATTCATTTTTATAGTAAAAATATCACAATCAGATATAAATAAACTATTTTTACCTAAGATTAAGTGTCAAATTTGAGAGATTAGTGCAATTTCCCAAATTATTACCTAATTATGATGCACCAATTGAGCCAATTTGATTGTCACTTTTTAAATATCGAAGAAAAAATATATAGATGATTAGTTAATTAGAAGGAAAAATGAGTTAAATTAAAAAAGAAAGATAGAGAAAAAAACACAAACAAAATATACAGAAAAAATAAATCAAATAAAAAGCTAATAGAAAAATTAAAATAGTTAATGATAATGTTTTAAATTAATTTTTTATATCAAAAATATCACAATCAAAAACAAATAAACTGTTTTTACAGAAGATCAATTACCAAATTTGAGAGGCTGGTACACTTTCCTAAATCAAAACCTAACCCTGACGAACCTTAATCACCAATTTTATTGCAACTTTTTAAATATTGAAAAAAAAATATACACTTAATTAGATTATTAGAAGGAAAAAATGAAGAAAAATATGAAAATGATAAAAATGAATTAATAAATAATAAAAGTAGAAGTTGAAAAATAAAAAATGAGTTAAATTAAAAAATAAAGAAGAAAAAAAACACACAAGCAGAATAAAAATAAGAAAAATAAATTTAAAATCAGAATAACTAAATTAAAAGAATTATATTGTTTTTAATTCATTTTTATATTAGAAAATAACACAATCCCAAACAAATTAACTATTTTACCCAAGATTAAGTATCAAATTTTAGAGATTAATACAATTTCCTAAATGAGAAGCTAAGCCTGATGCACCAGTTGAGCCAATTTCATTATCACTTTTAAATATAGAAGAAAGAGCTGATTAGTTAGTAACAACGAAAAAATGAATAAGACTTGAGCTAATTAATAATAAAAGCTTGATCACAATCCAAAACAAATAAAGTATTATTACGGAAGACTAAGTGTCAAATTTGAGAGATTAGTGCACTTTCCTAAACCAAAACCTATGCCTAAAGCACCTTCATCACCAATATCATTGCCTCTTTTATGAAGATTGAAAAAAAAAATAAATAATTTTTTAGTTTATTAGAGAGTAAAAAAAGAAAAATATGAAATAATAAGAAATTAATTAATAATAAAAGCAAATATTGAAAATGAAAAAATGTGTAAAAAGAAATAAAAAAATCATACAAAATAAATAAAAAAGGAAAAATAAATCAAAAAATAGTTGATAAATAAATAATTAAAAGAGATAGTAAGATTATTTTAAAATCATTTTTATATCAAAAAAGTCACTATTTAAAGTATATTAACTGTTTTTACTAAAAATTGAGGGTCAAATTTGAGAGATTAGTGCACTTTCCTAAACCAGATCCTAATTCTGATGAACCTTTATCACCAATTTTATTCCAACTTATTTTATATTGAAGAAAAAATTTGAAATGCAAATGATGAAAAATGGGTTTAATTAACAAAGAAATAAAGAAAAAAACACAAACAGAATTAAAAAATAAAAATAAGTCTAATAAAAACTAATAAATAAATTAAAAGATTAGTAATATTGATTTAAATTCATTTTTATATTCAAAAAATAACAATCAAAAACAAATAAACTGTTTTTACAGAAAATCAAGTGTCAAATTAGAGAGACTAGTGCACTTTCCTAAATCAACACCTAACCCTGATACACCAATTGCACCAATTTTATTGCCACTTTTTAAATATTGAAGAGAAAAAAAAGTTAATTAGCTATAAAGAAGGAAAAAATGAAGAAAAATATTAAAAAAAGAAAGAATTAATCAAGTAATTAATTATAAAAGTAAAATTTGAAAATGAAAAAGTGAGTTAATTTAATAAAAATATTTAAAAAATCCAAATGAATAAAATAAAAATCTAATAGATAATTTAAAAGAGTTAATTCATTTTTACATAAAAAATATTTTAATCCAAAACAAATAAACTGTTTTTTTTACCAAAGTTCAAGTATCAAATCTGAGAGAGTAGTGCACTTTCCTAAACCAAGAGATAAACATGATAAACCTTCATCACCAATTTCATTTCCTCTTTTAAATATTTAAGAAAAAATAAAGAGTTATTTAGCTTAGCTAGAAGTAAAAAATCAAGAAAAAATATCAAATTATAAAAAAATAAATAATTAATAATCTAAATAAAGTTGAAAGAAAATTAAGTTAAAATATTGAAAGAGTGTTCGTATAAATAATGAATGAATATAGATGAAGATTTCTATTAGAAAAATAATATTATAAATAGCTTGAAAATTAAATATAAAAAAACATGAATAAAATTAATGTTAATAAATTAAACATACTTAAGATCAATATGGAGAATCTAATAAGATTAATCTGAAGAGTTTAAAAACTTTTTTATTGATAAAAATAAATTTCAAAAATATAATAAAAAAATAAATATTTATTTACTTCCTCTAAACTGTTAAAAGATTTTTTTTATAATATCATTTATTTATTATATTTTTTTTCTCAAAAATATCGAATACAAATAAATAGAAATTTAATTAATTATAAGTATTGTAAAAAATTAATTTCAAATATAAATTTATTAATTTGCAATTAGGGAGAAATATCATAAAAAGTTAATGTAATATTCATTGTTGAATTTTAATATTTCTTTTTAAAACTTATACTTAAAATATAGTAAGAATTAGATGGGTAAGCAGTCATGTGCTTAAAAAATTATAGCTATTAAATACTAAAAAAATAGTTTTTATTGAATATATTTTTTGTTTTAGTCCATTAATAAATGAGGAAATATTTTATTATATTAAACAATAAATAAAATATTATAAAATTTAATGTCTTTAACTATTCTTATATCCTATTAGTATTTTTTCAAGCATATATTATTTTTGAAATTAGGTTACATGCACCAAAAAAGCACTTTTATACTTAATTAAATAAATCTCTAATAAAAAGATTAAACATTTTTATATTAATTAGCATAAATTTCTTTTTAAATTCATAATCTATCTAAAATAGATTAAAATATTTATTTAATCATATAAAAAATTGAATAATCAATAAATTTAAAGTATTAATTTATTTCTTCAATGAAAGGATTTGGTTAGTGAAGTGATAGAGAGAGAGTCTGTGCATAGGATTAATTTGCTTTCTTATATCGAAGCATATATTGCTAATCCTGAAATTAAAAATATCACCAGCCGTGTTGGTACAGATGGTGGATGGTATTTCATGTAACTTTTATGCTTTTAAGCTATTTTACTCCTCCTATTTTTTAATTGTTTTTATCAGTCTGTTTTTATTAAATTAAAGAAATTGTTGATAACATTTTATGGCTTTTCTCAAATTTTGAACATAAAAAAATTTTAAAACAAACATACATTAAAAAGTGTATAAAAAAAAATATTTTTTTTATACCTCCATGAATTAATTATGGCCTTTTGTTATTTTATAATAAGAAGATAGATTATAATGAAATGAATCAGAATTTCTTGCACTAATTTGAGAAAATTTTTAATTCCTTTTTTATATTTTTCCTTTTCGCTTTTTGGTAATGATGAAGGAAGGATTTAGGCATAATGTAAAAAGTTTTTTCATAGAAGTCATATATATATTTTGCAATAGAAAAATTTAATATAAAAGATTAAATTCTATTTTTAGTATTAAATATAAATAAATACATCATTTTTGTAAAAATATATATCAATTCATTAAGTAAAAAAAAAAATATTTTATTTTATATCAAAGTAAATAATTAAATTTTTATGCTAATATTTGCTTTTTAGAAATGAACTCTTTCTTATTGTTAATTAATTAATTAATAATTTAATAAAAAATTAGATTATTAGGGTTTTATAAATTTTTGAATGACAGCTAAGCTGTTTTGGTAGGAAAGTAGGTTCAAAGGATCCTCAAACGATCACTAAGCATTAACTAATTAAAAATAATATTAAATAGGTTTATATAAGATGTAGTTTTTAATTCATTTTCTATTAAATGTTGTTTAATGCGTTAAGCATCTCTATCTTATCTTTGGAATCAACTGGCTTTTCTTCATTTTTATAATAATAATAATAATAATAATTATATTGTTTTATGATTCCTTATTTGAAGATTATATTTCTGGGAATGACGATATTTTCGTTATTTCTTTAACAGATTTCACATTTTTGAAGAAGTAGTAGTCTTTCTCACTTGTCAGTCGATAGCAACTAGAAATCGCATTAATTATCTTTCCTATCAAAAGAATTTTCACCGCCATCATTTTTTTCATATTAATTTAGATGGATAAAAATTTAACATTAAAAGTTACTTGTTTTAGACAACTTAGGTTATAAGTTGAGAATAGCTTTCTGTATTTAATTCTATTTTGTAAATAGAAGTGGCATTTTGACTTTAAACGACTGTATAATTCCATTCTAAATGTTAATTTTATAGAAAAAATCTTTATAATGTTATCCATTTGCTTGCTTTTTTTTATTCTAAATCTTCTTGTCTGTGTTTTGGTTCAACAAAAGACTACACTTTATTTTAATTTAATTAGCAATAATTTTAGATTGATAAAAAAATTTTTGGAAGAGGAGAAGATGAAAGAGGTGATTTAGAAAATGGAGAAAGAGATTAATTGTGTAGGGTTATGTCATTGATCTTAAGTAAATTCATTTTTATTTTAGAATGTTTGATTTATTAAAAATGTTTAGTTAGTGGACATATTGCATTTCATTTGTTCTCAAATTGAATTTAATAATCATTAGGTTGCTTCAATAATATGAGAAACATGTTCAGGTAATAAATAGTTGGATACTCAAAAATTATTGAAGAAGCTTTATAACAAGAAATAGAACTTCTTTAATAGAATTTATTAACATTTTTTTCAAATTTAATCTCTGCGAAAGAACCTCAGTTTGAATTTAAAGTGTAGATTCTTATAAAAATAAATGTTTTTGAGTAATTCTGGAACATACCACTTATTTTGGATTAGACTGGTTAGTGATGATACGTTTTTATCTATATAACATTTAATCTACTTTATTAATGCGGCTGCGACATGGAAGGAAAAAATTTAAGAGATATTAACGCGGCTGTGACTTGGAAGGAAAGAATTTAAGAGATATTAATGCGGTTGTGACTTGGAAGGAAAAAATTTAAGGGACGATTTTGAGAATTAGAGTACATAGACTAAAAATAATGAGGTGATTATGTTTGTTTCAGTTTGTTTCTTGTGATTGTGTATTATATAATAAAATTTTTTAGTTTACCGGGAGTACGAAAATATAAGAGAATTTCATTATTAGGATGATTTTATTTTTTATTTAATAAATCAAATAATTCAAAAGAGAATTTCCTCATTTTATGCCCTACTTTCATTTTGCTCTTAAGCACTATATATAGATATATATATATATATAAATCAAACTCTTTGTTAAGTTGAATGTTTTGCCAAATAGTAAAACTTCAAAATCAAATAAACAAACCCTATGATACTGAATTAATATAACTAACTCTTAAATTATAAATCCCTAAATAAGATGGAGATACGTCAGACATAATTAAGAAGTATTAAAGAGTGATTTCTCAACCTTCTTAGAACGAGTAATAGCAAAAATAGTAATCACCAATATCAATAAAAACACAATAAAATTAAATAAACCATAGCAGTGGTTGCATGAAAAGCTAAATAAGAGAGCGATATTACTAATTGGAAGGTATTAATTATAGGCTCAAAAAGTCTAACTACCTTTAAGTTGTTTACATACTCTATACTAGCTTTCATTAATTTTACCTTTTTAATAATTTATTACGCACATTATATGGTAGAATTTGAATTGTCATTCTTTAAGAAAATTGGTCATCAACTTTAACTATGTTAATAATTTTTAACTCTATAAGTGAATAGATGTTTCATTCAATCCTTATTGATACCTTAGAGAGGAAAAGAGAAGCAGAAATAAATAATGAATACAATCAAACCAATTAGAAGTTGTTTAGTATGTCAAAAATAACTCTAATAATTGGTTGGAACTATTAAAGGAGGAAATCTTAGTCTAACAAGTAAATTTTGTGTCAAAATGAAGGCCTACTTAACAAGCTGGATATAAAATAATAAACTGTCATCCTAAAAAGAGCATCACTACTTAAATGTTTTTTAAAATAGATAGATAAAAAATAATTAATTTCAATTGTTTCTTTTTTACCTTTATTACATCATAAAAAGAAAAAGAAAGAAAAGAAATTTCTTATTTTTTAACCTCAAATAAATTTTAAAAAATAAATAATAAATTTCTAGAATTTTTTTTATTTAGTAAACAAAATCATTCAAATGATTCATCATTTATTTTGTTCACTAAAAAATTCAAATTAATAAATTATTTAAATACAACTTTTATTTTTTAAATTAGTGATGTAATTTATTTTTTTCAAAATATTCACTTTCAAAAGCATTTTAATCAATTCAAAATAAAAGAGTTTTATTTTTAATCAATTAAAAATAAAAGAGTTTTATTTTAAGTATTTTTCAATCAAAAAATCTTCTCACAATAGTATAAAAAATATTGAAAAAAATTTTTATTATTTCTTCATTCGAGCACGTATTCGAATTATTTATTATCAAAAATAAAATTTAACTAATTTATGTTCTAAATTGAATGATAAACCATTTATTTTTGGTTCATTTACATCAAAGAAGAAACCATAAATAATTTTTAAAAATGCCTAAATTTAATAAATTTTTATATATTATATTAATCTAGTTTATAGCTTATCCATGAATTAAATTCATATTTAAATTAATTAATAATCAGTCCTTCAAAGTTGCATTAAGCTCGAGTTTGGCTCGAGTTAAGAGTCACTGGGAGACAGTATATATATTATTTTTATGTAGTTATAAATGAAAATTAAATTATACAATTTATATAATGAATTAAATTTTACTCTTTCTTTTTTTTAACAAATTTAAAACAAACTTGAAATATGTTAATTTAAAAATATATTTTATCTTAAAATGACTTAATTTATGAGTAAATGTTTGCTTTTTTTGAAATGGACTATTTCTTAAAGAAAGTTAAGTTAATTGATAATTTAATAAATAATTTGATTTTTATTGATTATTAATTTTTGTATAATTAGCAAATAAAGCATCCCTTCTAATCTGTTTTGATAGGAAAGTATACTCAAAGGACCCTCAAAGGATCATTTATAATTAAAAATGATGTTAAATAGGTTTATATAATATGTGGTTTTACTTCATTTTCTATTAAATACTGTTAAATGTAATAAGCATCTCTATTACTTATGAATTTCTAAAGCTAGCTTACAATCAGACATTTTTTCATTTCCATAATAATGATATTATTTTATGATTACTTATATTAAGATTATTTATTTCTGGCAATGACGATATTTTAGTTGCACACTTCTTGAACCGATTTCATAATTTTGGAGATGTTTTAGTTTTTTTTCTCAGTCGTATGTCCATCCATAGCAACTATAAATCGCATTCATTATCTCTCACATAACAGAACTTCCACCACTTTCATTTTTTTCATATTAATTTAAAATATAAAAAATTTAACATAAAAATTTACCTTTTTTAGACAGCTTGGGCTATGAGTTAGGAATTTCTTTGTGTGTTTAATCCTATTTTGTAAATAGGAGCGTCCATTTTGATTTTAAAAAACTGTATAATTCCATTATAAAATTAATTGTATCAAAAAAATATTTATATTGTTTACCATTTGCTTGCTTTTTTTATTGTAAATCTTCAGTTATTCTACGAAATAAAAAATCTAGACTTGTTTATATTTATATTTAATTTAGACTAATAAACATTTTTTTTTGAAAGAGGAAGAAAACAAATGAGATGACTTAGAATAGGATATTATTGAGTAAAGGTAGATGATTGAGTTTTGAATCTAAGAATCAGTGAAAGCATTTTATTCAAAATTAAAAAAAAATTTATCCTTTTTCATCTATGCTAACTTAAAGCTAGCTAGCTAGTTTACTTACTTACTTAATTGCTTTCTATTTTTGTTTTTTTTGTTCTATTACTTATTTAAAAATTCATTTAGCGAAAGAAATACAAAATAAATGAGCGCAAAAACAACCATTCATTCATACATTACTCATAACATTTAACATATAATTCCATTCAAAAATTTCATCGTATGAAAACGAATAGATAGATAAGTGAGTGGCATTTAATTACATACATTTTTTTTTAACTAGCTTGTTAGCTGAATTAAGCTAAATAGTTAATTAAAAACAAATGTATGTAATTAAATACCATTCATTTATTAAGTCATTTACAAACTACTAATTTTTGAATAGCAATTTACTATATATATGTAATATAAAGGCAATATTCATCTAGTAAATCGTAAAGCAAAATTGGAATATTTTGTAATGAATTATTATTCCTCTTTTAATTAGCCTCAGTAATTCTCTTTTAATTAGTTTTTTTATATTATAGTTAGATTCTTTTGTATTTTTAAAATATTCATTAATTAGGTAGTTGCAATAGTTTTTATTTTTCTATAATAATCCCTTTAATGGATAAAATATTTTTAATTAAGAAAAACAAAGAAAATTAATTAAAAAATTAATTTTTAGACCTCAAACAAAATATTTAATCAAATAATTAATTCAAAAAAGAAGATAATCAAAATTAAAAAAAGATAATCAGTATTTAGCTCTCAAACCTTTGAACGAAAAACAAAAACATTAAATACAAAAAAATATACAATGGAAGATAAAGGGCTTAGAAATAATTACAAAAAAAACATAACTAGAATGTTTATTAATTTCCTAAGATAAAAATATTAAGACAAACATGAATTAATAAGACAAAATTTTGAAAATAGAATTCCAGATTTAAAAACCATTATTAAAAGATATGATCTAAAATAACAATTTGAGTTGTTTATCTAAATTTTTCCTAAATTATTTTTCTAATCAAAAATTTAAAATAAATTCAATAAGTTGAGCTCCTATTTCGAACGACTAGCTTATATCTATAAAAGTATCCTTTTGCCTAGGAGACATTGATCAAATTATTTCTTTCTCAATAATAGACGAATATATTTATTAATAAAAATATAGGTAAAGTGGTTTAGTTTTTTAATAGATAAATAAATAAATATAAATTTATGAATTCTAAAAATGATAAAATATGATTATTATATGCTATATTACTCTATTAATTTATTAAACAATCTTCAATTTTTTAAAATTCAATAATAGCTTTTTTATTTTCTTAAACAAGCTAAGAAATTTAAGCTCATAAAATTCTCCAGAAGAGTATCTAGAATTTTCTTTGATGGATTTTATGTAATAGCTGATTAATTTATCAAACGAAAAAAATATCCTTAAAATTTAATCTATTATTTAAATAATTTTAATCTAAAAAAATTTTAACTAATTTTGTTTGTTTGTTTTTTTTGTTTTTATAATCGTTTTTTTATTTTTAACTTAGAAAGAAATATTTTATTTTGTTAATTATTTATTATTATATATATTCAAAAGAAATTTTTGTAACATTTATTTCGTCTATTTTCAGATTGCTCTCAATCGAATATAAACAAATAAATATATAGGTAGATATATAAATAAAATTCTTTAATAAAAGCAAGAGATTAATTAGCCTATTAGCAATAATTTATCTTTACAAAATTTCTAAATCAATTTAAATTTTCTTCTTGAAAAATTTTTTAACGCTGAAGGAATCTAAGTAACTCACTATTTATAAATTAGTAAATAAGCTGGCGATGCCTCAGAAATTATTAAACAGTATTAAAAAATGATTTTCCTTCTTTCTTAGCGCAATTAATTGCAAAAATAATCATCATTAATATTAATCAAAACACAATAGAATTAAATAAGTCATTGCAATTATTGCATGAAAAGGCTAATAAGAGAGCTAGAGTTTTTCTCTTAATAACAAGAAACTTACAAAGTAAAAGTCTTCCCCTAATAAGATGACCTTGCTTAAAATTTATTTTAACATATATCATATTGCAATGTCAATTCTCAAGAGGTAGAATTTGCATGGAAAATTAGTCGTCAGCTTTATTTAAATATGGCTGCAATTTTTAACTCTATAAGCGAATAGATGATTTTTCCAAACTCTATTGATACCTAACAGAGCAATTTAGAAGCAGAAATGAATCAATCATAAAGTACTAAAAATAGTTTTTTAATTAACAAATGAATTTATCAGAAAATTAATTATTTTTTAAAATAGACAAAAGACAAACTAATTTATCAGAAAAAAATTTATTTTTTAATGTAGAAAAATGATTGAATTGAAATTAATAAAATAATTAAAAAAAATTGTATTTATTTTTTAGCGCTTACATTTATAAGCGATTTTCAATTTTAATGTAAACAAATTTATTTATTTTAAGGCAAATAAAAAAATATATTCGATTAAAGTTAGAATAGTCTAAATTTATAGGAAATTATTTTTAATAAAAAATAATAAATTAGATAAAATATTTATCATTTAGAGCTTTACTTAAAAAGCTACAATTCAAAAATAAATAGATATAAATGTGCTATGATCAATACTTTTTTAAAATTTGCAAAAGATAATTTGAAATTGATTCTTTCTTTGTTTCTTTCATTTATAGGTGTATCTTATTTTAATTAATCAGAATCTCGCAAATTAATAAAATTCATCAATTTAATCAATTTTATTTATTCATTTTTCTTTCAAAAAACCTTCATCTTATCTCATAAGAAAAAATATTGAAAAAGAATTGTATTCTTTTTTCTCTATAATTATTGTAAGTAATTATTTATTTATTATCAAACTATAATTAAACTAATTTTTCTTCTAAAATGAATGATAAACAATCAATAAATGGATAAAATTAATTGCATAATCAGTTAATAAATAAATGATACTAATTTATGTTGATAAATAAATTATATATATTTTTATGCTCATTTTAAATTATAATTGATCATTATTTTATATTTACAACTAACTTTTATAAATTATAAAATATCTTTGATATTTATTATATTTATCTTCTTAGAAAAGAATACTCAAAAAATACTTCAAACTATAGTTAGGATGTTTGTTTATTAATACATTTAATGAATTCGTTTATTTCATTAATAAAGCAAAGAAGTTGGTAATAGGGTTGCAGGATTAGTTTGTTATCATGGATTAATGGGTCAATAATTCCTTTAATAAATAGGTAGAGTATGAAGGGAGTTCTTTCTCATATTGTAAAATCTCTCCCTTTTCAAATTTGCATTTGGCTTCTAGAATCAATTATTAAATAGATTTAAGGTTTTTTCTTATTAACAAGGTCTGTTTCCTGATATAAAATGGAGTAATTCAATTAAGAAATGTAAATTAAAAAAAAAAAAATAGTTGTGCTATTTCACTAAATTTTAGAAAGGCATTTAGATATATTTTATATTTTTAACAATTTATTCATTTAGTATTTGAAGTCTTTTTTTATAGAGCCCTTTTTCTTGAAAGGGATCTAGATTCAGTAGGGTTGATTTCAAGAACTTTATTGTAACAATCAAGAGCTTTGTCTGTTTAATTTTTTCTTTCGTAAGCAAGTTCAGAGTTCTAAAGTGATTATTCATATTCGGATTAATTTATAAAGCTTTGTTAAATTATTCAAGAGCTTCATCATTCATATTTTAATCGAAATAAACTAACCCTATATTATTATAGGCCACTTGCTTTTCAGGATTGACTTCTAGTATTTTCTTATATGTTTCAAGTGCTAGGTCAAACATAGTTTTATCTTAGATAAGCGTTACCTAATTGAATGTAAGCATTATTATACTTTGAGTCTAATTCAATTGCTTTTTAGTAGCTTCCTATAGCTTCATCAAGCATATTCTAGTCTTAGTAAATCCTACCCAAATCCAAATGATAATGAGTTTCAATGCATTTAGGCACATATTCGTAGAACTCTTTAGCTTCTTTTATCATTTTTCTATCCAAATAATAATTCATCACTTCTTCCATAGCAGCAAAGCACTTAGGATTTATTTCTATAGCTTTTTGTAATTAGCTTCTTCATACTTTCTATTTGCCTTCAATATAAAACCTAGTTTGTCGTAAGCATTAGAGTAGTTTGGATCTAATTCAATAACCTTTTTTAAACACTTAATTGATTCATCATCATTCAATTCAGTGTAATATTTATTTCCTTCTTCATAGTAATCTTTTGCAGTTTAAAGATTTTTCTCCTACTACTCTTCTTTGTGAGTTTCTTAAGCTTATTTTCCATTTTTATTTTTCAGTCCATTTATTCTGCTTAATGTATTCTTATGAGCAGGATTGATTTCAAGAGCTCTATTATTGCACTCAAGAGCTTTATCTTTCTAATCTTTTTTTTCATAAACCAGCCCTGAATTTTAAATGGATGACTCATATTCTGGGTCTGCTTCTATAGCTTTATTGAATTATTCAAGTGCCTCGTCTAACATGTTTTATCTTAAATATATAAGGCCTATATTATTATATGCGACTGATTTTTTTTAGTCTATTTCTATTATTTTTTAATAGCACTCTATGGCTTAATCGTATAACAGTTTTTCTGAATAAGCGTTGCCTAATTAGATATAAGCGTCAATGTAGTTAGAGTCTAACTCAAGTACTTTTCTATAGTAGACAATGGATTCATCAAACATATTTTGAACTAAGTAAACTTTTGCTAATTTATAATAAGCATCAAGGTTTTTAGGAACTTATTCAGAGAATTCTTTAGCTTCTTTAATCATTTTTTTATCTAAATGCATTTTCATCACTGTCTCTATAGTCTCTATAGCAGAACAAAATGTTGGGTTGAGCTCAAGAGCTTTTTTGTAGTGGAAAATAGAATCGTTAAACATTTTTTTTTCTTTTTTAACTAAACCAAGTTTATCATAAGCTAAATAGAAATTTGGATCTATTTCTAAAGCTTTTTTAAGATATTCTATGGATTTATCATTATTCTATTATTAATAGTAGTCACAGCCTTCAAAATAATAATCGTCTGTCTGATGTTGAAAGAACTTTCTTATTATCATTTTTCAATAAATCTTTAAAAAGACTAAAATCATCATCATGATCATCTTCATCATCATCTTTTGAATTTATTTAAAAAACTCTTACTTTTGCCTTTTTATAGTTTGGTTTTATTTAAAGAACTTTTAGTAACACTCAAGTGCTTTACTTAGGACTTCTTAATTAGGCTATCAAGTAGATGGAAAAGGCTACTCAATTCTATTTAGCAGCAATCGATTTAGATCACGATTTCATATAGTCCTATCTTGGATTGGGTAGCATGTATTCTGCTAATGGAATCAATGAAAAAGCTCTTGAATGCTTTTCTAAAGCTTAAGAAATTGATGTCAATAAAGCTGCAACATTTAATAGTATTGGATTTATGTATTATAATTAGAAAATTTATGACTAAGCTCTTGAAAATTTTAACAAAGCCTTAGAAATAAATCCAAACTATGAATTAGCTATTTACAACACCGGGCTTGTGTGCCAATAAAAAACCAAAACGATAAAGTTACAGAAAGCTTAAGTATATTTTGGATTAAGTTATATTGTCTTTTCATAGCATTCAATAAACTCAACTATTTTATCAGTTTAAATAAAAAGATCATCTTCGAATAAGGAATTCAAATCGCTATCTTTGACTTTATTGTAACACTCAAAAGCTTCAGATTGCATATTCTTTTAAGAATAAACATTTCCTTGTCTGACAAAAATGGAAATTAATTTTGGGTTCATCTCTTCAGTTTTCTTGTAATATACCAAGGCTTCTTCTAGCATATTTTTTGATTCATATATTATTCCTAAGTTGAAGTAAGCGAGGTAATAACTTGAATCAAGCAATAATATTTTTTTAAAGTAATCTAGGGCCTCATCAAACATATTTTACAAGATATAAACGTCCCCTAAATTATTTAGGGCTTTTATATTATTCTCCTCTATTGCTAATATGCTTTAATAGCAAGCTATTGCTTCATCATAACTTTTCTAAGTTGTTTTCAGTATTGCTAAACAAAGATAAGAGTCGATGTGTTTTGGGTTTATTTCTATTATTTTTTTATAGCATTAAATGGCTTCATTAATATTTCCTTTTAACTTATAAGCTTTTGCATTTCTATAATAAGCATTATAGCAATTTGGATCTATTTAGTAGCTTTTTTATAGCAGTTTTGAGCTTCATCAAGCATTTTTTAGTCAGAGTAAATTACAGCTAAGTTAATATGAGCTTTAGTATGCTATGGATTTAATTTAATAACTTTTTTATATGCCTTGACAGCTTCTTCATTCATATATTTCTTTTGATATATTAAAGCTAACTAAAATTAATCATAATGACTATAAGGATCGATTTAAATTATTTTTTTGAAGCATTCAATACCCTCGTCTAACAAATTCTACTTAACGCAAATATCTCCCAAATTTATCAGAGATTCAAGAAACTTAGGATTGATTTCTTGTAGCTTTCAATAGCATTTTATATTAAATTTTATTTTACATAAATAACCGCAGAGTTATGATGGGCTTATTGATATTAAGGATCTACATGAAGTGCTTTCTTAAAATACTCAAGTGCTTCAGTTATCATATCTTTATCATAGTAGATAAGTCCTATGTTATTATAAGAATCAGGGCTTTTTGGATTAATTTCAATGACTTTTTGAAAATAAGTAAGTGCCTCATCATATTTTTATTCTTAATAATATAGTAACCCTAGGTTAAACTGAGTGTTAAAATGATTAGGATCTATTTCAATAGCTTTTTTGTAATATTTGATAGCCTCCTCCTTCTTACTTATATTCTAGTAAATAAACCCAAGTATTTCATAAGCTTCTACACAATTTTCATCCATTTCTATAGCTTTTTTGAGGTATTTGATAGAATCTTCAGTTTTATAATCTAGATAATAGTTACGAGCTAGGCTGATATAAGCCTTAACATAATTAGGATCTATATTAAGTATGCTCTTATAGCAATCATAAGCTTCATAAATCATATTTTTGTTTTCGTAAGTAAATCCTAAGTTGTGATGAGCTTCTGCAAAATTTGGATCTATTTCTATAGCTTTTTTAAAGCAATCTATAGCTTTATCTGTAAGATTTTATATTATGTAAGCAAAACCTAATCTTTCATGAGCCTTTGCGCTTTTAGGGGCCCAGATTGAGAAATATAAGTATTAAATTTATTCCTTAAATCAAATATTGTTTAAAAATTTTTTTAAAACGATGACAAGTAACACAAAAAAGGATATAATAAGTTTCAAAGTACACATAAATTAAACTTATATGCTAGAAATAATTTAAATAGGCTATGTTAATTACCAATAGAATACTTTTCAGGGATATATTTATTTATTATAAATTTTAAATAGTAAAATAAATATTTATTTCATATTTAGTACTAAAAATTTGAAGAAAAAAATTTTAAAATAAAAATTATTTTTAAAAATTAGGTTGGTATTATGTACCCAACCAATATCATATTTTTAATAGGCTAAATCAAAGAAGGTCTTGAAAATAATGAAGGAGTATTCCTTTCATGATTCATCTTAAATACTCATCAAGTAAATTTAATATTATTGTTTAAATTTGTTTTTAAATTTTTAATTTTTTAATTTTATTGCTCATTATTCAATTCTAATATGCTAATAAAATTATATTTGGAGTTTTGTTAAAATTATATTTATATTGAAAATAGGAATTTAAATTAATGAAGTTAAATCTCACAAATAGTAAAATAAATATATTAAATAAAAACATTAAAAATATATTAAAACAGTAAATATATTAAATCAAAAGATTAAAAAGTAAATTAATAATGTTAGTTATTATTTTGCAAATAAATGGTTTAGTTTTGTACGTACAACAATAGAAAGATTTTATTTTTTTAAGGATATATTAAACATTTGAATTATTTATTTTAATGGTAAGTAAATTATCTAATTAATTAATATGATGACTTACTTTTTCATAAAATGGAATTAAATAATAAAAATATATTCATTTATTTGAAAAATTTCATACTTAAATCTTAATTGCTATGTAAACAAACACATACTATTAATAAATAAAGGTTTAACATTCATATTATTAAATATAAGTTAACTAATCTTTTTATTTTTAAAGCTAATCTTTTGAATTCTTATTATTATTTTTGAGGCAATAAACTTTTTATAAATAAATTTATATTTTAGCATTAATAAATAAATAAATAAAAAATTTTATTTTTAATTTTCTAATTAATTTTAAGCAAAAAAAATCATTACTAAATAGAAAGATTCAATAACTTTATATTTTTACAGTTGATTATTTCACGGCATCTTAGAAAATTATCATCATCTCTTATAAATTAAGATATTTTTTATAAACATTTAAAAAATTTAACATAATATTTTTCAAAAGTAATAAATGAAATAAATTTACCCTATCTAAATAAATAAATTTGTAAGCTGAGTGCAGTTACTCAAACCTAATCCAATATTTTATGCTCCTTTATCACTGATTTTATTTTTCCTATTTAAACAAAGTAAATCAATTTAAAATAAATTTAAATATAAATATATAAAATAATTTATAGTTTTAAAGTAATCAATAAAAAAATAAATAAATTTTAAATTAAAGTTACTGAATCTAAAAATTAAGAGTAGTAAGGAATTTGCAGTTACTAAGTGCTGTACTGATAGAACAAGCTCCATCATCCTCAATTAAATTTGAACTTTTAAAAATGAAAATTAAGATTAATTAAAAATTAAACACATTTTATAAATTTTTATTTTATTTAATTAAGTTTAAATAAAAATTTTTACTTAATTTTTTTTCAAAAGTTATAAATGAAATAAATTTACTTTATCCAAAAGACTAAATCTTTGAGTTGAGTGCAGTTACTGATGCCTAATCCAATATTTTATGCTCCTTTATCACCGATTTTATTTCCCCTTTCCAAATAAAGTAAATAAATTCATTAGATATTTAAATTTATTTTAAAATTTAAATCTAAATATGTTAAATAATTCAATGTTTTTTAAGTTATTAATAAATAAAGAAATATAAAATTAATATTACCTAATCTAAAAGTCAAGATTAGTAAGGAATTTAAAGTTGCTAAGTGCTGTACTGATAGAAGACGCTCCATCATCCCCAATTTAATTATAGCTTTTATCAATGACAATCAAGAAATTAAAACATTTTATAAATTTTAATTTATTAAGTTTAATTAAAAAACTTTTGCATATTTTTTTTCAAAAGTAATAATTTAAAATAAATTTACTTTATCTAAAAGACTAAATTTGTAAGCTAAGTGCATTTACTCAAGCCTAATCCTATATTTTATGCTCCTATATCACCGATTTTATTTAGCCTTTTAAAATAAAGTAAGTAAATTCATTAGATATTTAAATTTGTTTTAAATTTTAAATCTAAATATATATATTAAATAATTCAAAGTATTTTAAGTAATTAATAAATAAATAAATAAATATAAGATTAATGTTACCCAATCTAAAAATTAAGATTCGTAAGGAATTTGCAGTTACCAATTGCTGTACCAATAGTAGAAGCTCCATCATCACCAATTTAATTATAGCTTTTATAAATGAAAATCAATTTTTATAAATTTTAATTTTATTTAATTAAGTTTAATTTAAAAACTTTTACATATTTTTTTTCAAAAGTAAAAATTTAAATAAATTTACCTTATTCCAAATTGTAAACTTGTAAGTTGAGTGCAGTTAATCAAGCCTAATCCAATATTTTATGCTCCTTTATCACCGATGTTATTACTCCTATTTAAGCAAAGTAAGTAAATTTATTAGATATTTTTAAAAAAATTTAAATCTAAATATGTTAAATAATTCAAAGTATTTTAAATAATAAATAAATAAATATAAAATTGATGTTACCAAATCTAAAAATTAAGATTAGTAAGGAATTTGCAGTTACCAATTGCTGTACCAATAGTAGAAGCTCCATTATCACCAATATAATTTTCACTTTTATAAGTTAAAATAATTTTTATAAATTTTTATTTTATTTAATTAAGTTTTATTAAAAAACTTTTACATAATTTTTTTCAAAAGTAATAATTAAAATTTTTTTACCTTATTCCTAATTGTAAACTTGTAAGTTGAGTGCAGTTAATCAAGCCTAATCCAATATTTTATGCTCCTTTATCACCGATTTTATTACTCCTATTTAAGTAAATTTATTAGATATTTTTAAAAAAATGAAATCTAAATATGTTAAATAATTCAAAGTATTTAATAAATAAATATAAAATTGGTGTTACCAAATCTAAAAATTAAGATTAGTAAGGAATTTGCAGTTACCAATTGCTGCACCGATAGTAGAAGCTCCATCATCACCAATTTAATTTTCACTTTTATAAATAAAAATCAATTTTTATAAATTTAATTTTATTTAATTTAGTTTAATTGAAAAACTTTTAGGTAATATTTTTAAAAATTAATAAATAAAATAAATTTACCATATCTCAAATTCTAAATTTATAAGCTGAGTGCAGTTACTCAAGCCCAACCCAATATTTTATGCTCCTTTATCACCGATCTTATTTCCCCTATTTAAATAAATTAAATCAATTGATTAGAAATTTAAATTTGTTTTAAAATTTAAATCTAAATATGTTAAATAATTCAAAGTATTTTAAGTAATTAATTAATAAATAAATAAATAAATAAATAAATATAAAATTGATGTTACCAAATCTAAAAATTAAGATTTGTAAGTAATTAGCAGTTACCAAGTGCTGTAGCTATAGCAGAAGCTCCATCATCTCCTACTTAATTTTAGCTTTTATAAAAAATCTAAATTAATAAAAACGTTTAATAAAGTTTAATTAAAAAACTTTAAGAAAATATTTTCAAAATTTAAATTTAAATCTAAATAAATTTAAAAAATAATTCAAAGTTTTTAAAGTCATTAATAAATAAATAAGTAAATATAAATAAAATTAATGTTACGAAATGTTAAAGCTAAGCTTAGTAAGGAATTTACAGTTACCAAGTGCTTTACCAATAGCAGAAGCTCCATCATCCCCAATTTAATTTTCACTTTTATAAATGAAAATCAAGCTTAATTAAAAATTCAAGATATTTTATAAATTTATTAAGTTTGTTTAACTAAAATACTTTGAGATAATTTTTAAAAAACAAAAAATGAAACAAATTTACCTTATCCCTAAATATAAATTTGTAAGCTAAGTACAATTACTCAAACCTAATCCAATATTTTATGCTCCTTTATCACCGATTTTATTTGCCCTTTCCAAATAAATAAAGTAAATAAATTCATTAGGTTTTTAAATTTGTTTTAAAATCTAAATATACATAATATTAAAAATAAATTCAAAATTTTTAAGTGGTTAATAAATAAATAAATATTATATAAATGTTACCAAATCTAAAAATTAAGTTTAGTAAGGAATTTGCAGTTACCAAGTGCTGTACCGATAGTATAAGCTCCATCATCCCCTACTTAATTTTAACTTTTATAAATGAAAATCAATATTAATTAAAAACTAAAGGCTTTTTTATAAATTTTAATTTAATTAAGTTTAGTTAAAAAAATATGACATAATTTTTTCAAAATTAATAAATGAAATAAATTTATTTGCCTTATCCCAAATTCTAAATTTATAAGCTGAGTGCAGTTACTTAAGCCTAACGCGATATTTTAAGCTCCTTTATCGCATATATTATTTTCCCTATTTAAACAAAATAAATCAATTTATTAGATATTGAAATTTGTTTTAAAATTTAAATCTAAACATACAAAATAATTTAAAGTAAATCTATAAATATATAAATAAATATAAAATTAATGTTACCAAATGGAAAAAATAAGATTAGTAAGGAATTTGAAGTTACCAAGTGCTTTGCCAATAGCAGAAGCTCCATCATCCCCAATTTAATTTGAGCTTTTATGAATGAAAATCAAGATAAATTAAAAATTAAAGACATTTTATAAATTTTAAATCTATTTAATGAAGTTTAATTAAATAACTTTGAAATAATCTTTTCAAAAATAATAAATGAAATAAATTTACTTTATCCTAAAATCTAAATCTGTAATCTGAGTGCAATAACTCAAACCTAATCCAATATTTTAAGCCCCTTTATCACCAATTTTATTTCCCCTTTTCAAATAAAGTAAATTAATTCATTGATATTTAAATTTGTTTTAAAATTTAAATCTAAACATACAAAATAATTCAAAGTTTTTAAAGTAAATAATTCATTAAATAATTAATTAATAAATAAATATAAAATTAATATTACCAAATCTATAATTTAAGATTAGTAAGGAATTTTAAGTTACCAAGTGCTGTACCAATAGCAGAAGCTCCATCATTTCTAATTTAATTTAATCTTTTATTATTTAAATTAAATAAATAAATAAGTAAAAGATCATTTTTAACTTTAAGTTTTTTGAATTAAATTTTTATGTAAAAAATAATTTTCGCTTTTTTAAATAACAAAAATGAAGTTTATTTACTCCATTCCAAAATCTAAATTCTTAATTTGAGTGCATGTACTTAAACCTATTACAATATTTTATGCTCCATCATCACCAATTTTATTTCGCCTACTCAAACATAATTAATAAAACTAATTATTAGTAAATTTATTAATTAAAATTATTTGAAACTAATTTCAAAAACAAACCAAAAAATTGATGTTTTAGATTCTCAAAATTGTAAAATTAAAATTACCCAAGCAAACATTTTAGATTAATAAGTAACGTACAGTTAATTAATGCTGTTCCTAAAGAATATGCCCCTTCTACTCCAATTTAATTATTGCTTGTAAAACATAAAATAAATAAAATATAAATAAAAATTAATGATATATTCAAAATGTTTAAGGATTAAATAGTTTAAAAAATGCATTAAATTCTCTACAATTAATATAAATTTATTCTTTCAAAACAATAAAAATTATTTACGAGAGGTTAATATCTAGATGAGTCAACGTTCTACAGCTAATTAAAGCTGTACTAATATAAAATACACCTCCCTTGCAAACTAAATTTTCTCTTTTTTAAGTTTTTATTTACAATTAGGAATAATATTATATTGACAAATTTTTTTAATTTATAATCAGTCAATGAAATTTACGCTATGTTTAAAGTTAAATTTGTAAGCTTAGCACAGCTGCTAATTCCTTCTGCAATTCTGCTTATCCCTCTGTCACCTATTTTATTTTTCCTTTTCAAATAATAAAATATGGTTAATATAATTAAATTAAAATTACCAAAGCTGCAAATTTAAGTTAGTAAGTGTTTTAAATCTTTGTAAAGCAGTGCAAATCCAAAAAGCGCCTTAGTCCCCAATTTAATTTCCACTTTTATTATTGAAAAATATTTAAAAACTTTGGAATAAATAATAAAAAATTAATTTTAATGAATGAATATTGAAAGATAAACTTATATAAAAATATATTAAAATAGAATACTCTAAGTTTAGCTGTAAACTGTTGAGATTAATTAGATTGCTCATAGCTTCTTCTAATAGGATATATCCTTAAACTTCTTTTTGATTTAATCTTTCATATTAACAATTTATTAATTAAATATCAACAACTAAATTTTACCTAGGCTCTTTAATCATGTCTTAGTCTTTGTAAAAAGTATTTATCAAGAACCTTATTTGGGTAAACATTTAATCATTGCTATTTAAATAAAATAAAACGCTTTAATTTATTTCAATTAGTAAAAAGATATTTATTTATATTTTAATCAATAAAATTTAAAAATAAGATTCAAATAGGTGTGGTTTTTGATAAATAGTAGAAAAAGATTAGGCGATAAGATAATATTATAATTTATTCAACAATCGCTTGGCTCTATTTAAGATGAAAAAAATTAAATTTACCTCACATTATTACCAGTTTCAACTAAATTCTTTATGCTGGGGTATTCAGCAAATAATTAATTTATCTAATCATCTGAAATGTTTTCCATACTGCATATTAAATTTATAGTAAAAATAATTAATTATGGTTTTAAAGATAATAAAGTTAAATTATTACTTTAGATTTAATATCAAAGATTCTAATTTTTCACATTATGCTAAAGAAGAGTTAAGCTCTGCAACTTATTCATTACTAAGAATACAATTTCTATTTATTTTGTAAATATTAAATAAATAAATAAATAAAAAATTAAATTAATGAATAAATAAATAATGGATGGATGGATATGAATGAGATTTAATTTATTCTTAATTTTTCATTATAAAAAAGAGAAGAAGTTTATTTTAAAATAATTATTTCTATTGAAAAAAAATATTATTTTTAAAGCTTTATGATTTAATATTAATAAAAAATTTAGAAATATATTTTTTTATTACTTGAACTGTAAATCAATACTAGTTAGAGCTTTCAAGTTAGATTTCTTTAACTATTTATTTTAAAAAAGGATTATATAATAATAGATAAAAGAAATAATAATGGATACATCTTCCAGATTATTAAAAGAGTTATTCTATTACTCCATTTTTTATTTTATTTGTTTATTAGCAAAATACTAATATTGTTGATATATTAAAGAAAAATACTCTTGATTTTGTTTTTTGTATTCTTATTGAATTTGTGCCTTTATTGAAAAATATATTAATAAATGTATAAAAAATTATATGTAATTAATCTCCTTATTAATACTCTTTCATAAATACAATCACTATAAATACTCTAATTTATTAAGCATTTATAAAATTACATTTTACTGTATTTTTTAAAATAAGGAGGAGTAATAATTTTTTAAAATTTATTCACTGCTCGAGACTTCCCATTTTATAATACATAAAATGATATATATATATACTCAAGATATTATTTTTTAGTAAAATGCATGAAGCAATTTGGATTTAAATTTTCCCTTTTAATACTTATAGGATTAAATTTAAATTTTAAAAAGATTTAATTGCTTTAATAAAATAGAATAAATTGTGTTTCTGATAAATTGCTTATCAGAAAAAGGAAAAAATGTTTATAGTTCCCGATTAAGTTTGCTTAATAATTAGTTAGATGGATGATCTATTTTATAATTAGATTATGTTTTTAGTTTAATTCTTTTAATGCATGCATAATTAATTATATATTTATATATATACATACATACATGCATATCTATTTATATTTATTAGGATTATATACATAATAAGAAAGTGTATTTTTGATTTAAATAAGAATACAAATAAATGTCCTTATTTATCTAGCAAACTAAAACAGTAATAGTTAAAAACTTTCTTTTTTACTCAAGCAAAAAAGAAATTATCAAAGAACTGCTCGTACCCTTGATATCGGCATGGGTATTTTATGTAGGGAGTAATCAAATAGAGCATTTTTTTTCATTTTAATTGAATTTGTCCAAATGATCATTTTTTAAATGTTTAAATGGAGTTAAGAATTTTAAAATTGTAAACAAGCTAGCAAATAGAGCTTAATTTTAGATAGAATAAAAAATTTAATTTATTAAATGTTTTAAAGGACCTACTTCGCAGCAATAATAATAAGGTGATGATGAAAATCCTTTCAAATTCATGAATAGTATGATCAGTTTAATGCTTCCTCTTTACCTACCAGGCACAATTACTGGATACGCCAAAAAACTTTTGATCAATTATGTAAATGAAAAGCATGAGCGCTACAAAGAAACCTAAAAGGTATTAAAAATAAATTAAAAGATTTGTTAGCATTTATCTTAATATAAATTAAAATAGATTATGGGATTAACTTAAAGAGCCTATTTATCTGGTTGGTTGATTACTAGTTATTTGGCCATGGGTATAATAGGTTTAATAACTATTCTTTCTTTATATTTTAGTGGTTATGAAGTGAATGGATCGTTTTCTATAATTGCAATTAACTACAGTGTGTATCTTATTGCTTCAATTCATTAAATACTTGCTATATCTACTTTTTTCAGCTCTCCTAAGCTTGCTGGAGAAATTGGAATTTTCTTCATTTCTATGGCTTCACTTCTATTTTTCTACCTAACTTATGGCACTAAAGTACTATATAAAAGATTTATTATTTTAACATTCAATATATATAAAAATCACATAGGTTTCAGACACAACTTTTGCACTGGTATGTTTGTTTCCATAGGCTGCAATATCTTTTTCTATTTTACAGCCTCAGCAATAATCTACCTAACCAGCTACTAGCAATCAGAATGACCCTGTTTCAGATATTTCCTAATCAGTCTTAGGCAATCAAGTAAAATGAAAAAATTTATAAAAGAATTTATTAAAAACTTAACTTTTAAAAAATTAGTACAACTACAAGATAGCCAGTTTTATGCTTTTCGTTGATATTTTTGTTTACATTCTTTTATATTTTTATCTTGAAGAAATCATCCCAAACGAATATGGAATAAAAAGAAGTCCTTTCTTTATTTTCAAAAAGAAGTTTTGGAGTGATTTTTTATTCAAAAAAACTTTAAGATAAAAATCTAATTATGTTTAATTTGACGATCAATTAAATGAAAACGATGGATAGTCAAATAACCACATGAGTAACTAGCATGTTATTGAATTAGGAAATGATATGAAAAACATATAAAATGAATCTCTATTAGGTGAAAAAAAGAAAAATTCAAACAATAGTAACATTTTGAATTAGTAGTCAAGTCTTTATACACAAAATTCTAATTATGTAGAACCAAATTAGAACCCACTATTAATTGATGTCATTGATCTAAAAAAACATTTTAAATCAGTTCATGCTGTTGATGGCATTTCAATGAAACTCTTCCAAAATGAAATATTATGGTAATTTTTTTTCAAACAATTATCTGATCATACATAATAAGCTTATTTAATTAATAAGTTTGCTGGGTCACAATGGAGCAGGTAAGACTACAACAATATCTTTATTGACAGGTCTGATAGAAAAAACAGGCGGAAAAATTCTATGTAAATATTATTCACTAAAAAGAAAATAAATTCTGATTTAACATGCAAACTTATTCAATAGATTTTGGAGATGAATTGGAGGAAAATATAGATAAAATCAGATAAAACTTAGGTATTTGCAACTAAAAAGATGTGCTGTATAATTATATGACAGTCACTTAACACTTGGAATTTATTGCAGGAATAAAAGGAATTAGTTCAGATTAGGTTAAGTAAGAAGTTTAAAATATTATCAATGAGGTAGGATTGCAAAACGAAAAAGATAAATTAGCAGAAAATCTAAGTGGGGGAAATAAAAGAAAGCTATCTTTAGGAATGGCTTTGGTCGGAGGATCTAAAATAATTTACTTAGATGAGCCAACTTCAGGTAAATATTGAAATTATAAAAGTGAAATAAGAAATATCAAATTTGTTAGGAATGGATGCCGTTTCTAGATAATAGATTTGGAAAATATTGGAAATCATCAAGAATAGTAGATCAATAGTACTTACTACTCATCATTTGGAAGAAGCTGAGAGACTTTCAGACAGAATTATTATCATGTCTAAAGGTAAAAAGAAAATTGAAGGACACTCAGATGACATAAAGAGAGAGTATGGTGTTGGATATCACTTGACTTTATCTGCTAAATCAAATGAATTTAAATAATAATTTGAGGAAAGAAAATAATATATAAAATAATTTGTTCTCTAATCTATCCAGGGATCAGAGTACAATGTTTAAAGTTCGAAAGACTGCATTAAATTTATCCTTCCTTTTAAGTCTATTGATTAGTTTTCTGAGGCATTTTAGTTTATAGAAAAAGAAGAATTCATTAATGTAAATTATTAATCTAATTAATTAATTTTGTTTTCATATAAAAATGAATGCAGATAAATTCTTTTTTGATTGGAAATATTTCAAAATAAATTGATTTTGTGCGTGCTCTAAATAATGTTTTTTTAAAGATAAGTTTATCAATTAATTCTTTAGAAGATGTATTCATCAAGATTGGAATTGAAGATGAAATAAGCGATGGAGGTCTTAATATCTTGTCTAATGATCAAAATTCTCATCCTATTGCGCTATACAATAGCCCAAAATATTCCTTTTTTAATTAATTCTTAGCTATGTTTTAAAGATAATATTACATGACTATTCGTAATTGGTCAGCTATTCTGATGATTTTGTTACCGATAGCAGAGATGCTTCTAGGTGTTTATGTCGCTAAGCATTTTATTGATAATTTAGAGAAATATTTTGACGTACTTGATGATGCTACAGGAGATAAAAATTAGTCTAAGCAATTAAAAGAGTCGTTTGTTTTTCCACTTAAAATGTACTTCTTGAATATCTTTATAGTCTAAGCTTACTCAATCAACACTTCAATATATGTAAATACTCCTGTCCTAGAAAGAGAAACATAAATAAAATACGCTTTGAATATTATGGGTTGTCGCCCCTTGCCTTACTGGCTAGGAACCCTTGCTTTTGATTACACTGTTTACTTCATCACGTTCTTAATTTTTTACATTAGCATTTATTCAGCTAGAGTAGAATTTTTAATTCCTTATTTAAAACCACTTTTTATAATTATGGCTTGCTTTGGATTTAGCTTAATTACTTTCTGTTATATCTGTGGTATCTTCTTTTAGAATAGCAACTCTGCTTTTAAATATTTCCCTATAATTGCTCTTTTTGTGAATTATACAATTCCTTCCATTCTACTCATGATCACAAGATTCTCCCTTCCAGATTTATATCAGATCTTACAATATGTTACGCTATTATTATCTCCTTTCTTGACCCTAGAAAAAGGTAAAACAAACTTATTTTAATTTTTAAATAAGTTATTTAAATTATTTTTAATTTACCTTAAAATTTTCTTTATTTATGTTTAAAATAAAAATCAAATTTCAAAGTATATATCATATAAGTAGAAAATGTTTGATTTTTTCTGCATAAAATAAATGAATAATGTATTGAGAGACTACATTATATGAACTTTATTATTGAAAATAAAATATATTAACTAATAATTAATTTACTTTTATAAGTTAAAATGCTATTGAAAACTAAAATATTAGCTGATTAATTAATTAAATTGATTCATTTATTTATTTATTTTATGAAATTAATATTTTTTATGTTAATAGCCTTGGCTAATATTGACTCTTAGAAAAGAATGGGATAGGCTATGTAAAGTTCAGATTTAAGAGGAAGTTAAATATTCAGTAAATGGTAGCATTATTCCATTGCCATAATAGTTTAAGGTATCGTTTATATGATTGGTGTTATGATCTATGAGAGGAAATATTACTCCTTAGCAGGTTCAAATTAGGATGTGCCATAAGACTTAGAAGAATAAGTTGACGAAGGAGTTTAAAATGAAATTAACAGAGTTTAAGATCCAAATAATAGAGATCCTATTAAAGTATGATAATTTATTATATTTTCATTTAAAAAATATATTCATAACACTTTCAAAATACTAAATTAAAAGTGTGATCAAATTTATAAAGTCTATCCAAGCTCCCCTGCGAATATTTGTGCCGTCAGAGGAACTACATTTGGAGTTGAAAAAGGATAAATTTTTGGTTTGTTAGGACCTAATGGTGCAGGTAAGACAACAACGTTTGGCATGATAACTGCTAATATAGCTAAAACTCGCGGATAAATATATCTCAATAACAAGAATATCAATGAAAGCTCAAGTATTTATTTTGACAACATTGGAGTCTGCCCTCAAAATGTAAGTTAACCAATCAATTTTAAACGTAATATAATTCCTTTAAAAATTAAACAAATAGAACTGCTTATGGGAGTATTTGAAGGCAAAAGAGCACTTAAATGTGTTCGGAAGAGTGAAAGGACTGAGTGGAAAAGACTTAAAAGAGGTTGTGGGATATTATCTAAAATACATGCAATTATCTCATTACAAAGTATAATCTTCTAAGTTATCTGGAGGAAATAAAAGAAAGTTGTGTGTTGCTAACTGTTTGATTGCTTCACCTTCTTTATAATTTTATGACGAACCCTCAACAGGTATTATTTTTATTCATAAATTTATAATAATTAAATAAATAATTAATGAATGAATTAACTTAAAAAAAGGATTAGATCCAATAGCGAAAAGATATTTATGGAAGTGCTTGAAAGACATCTTATAAAAAAAGTAATTAATTAAAAATAAAAAATGTTGAATGGTTATTTTAACTTATAAAATAGAGAGTCATCTATTGTGTTAACGACTCATTCGCTATAAGAAGCAGAAGATTTATGTGATAAAGTTGGTATTTAAGTGAATGGAAAGTTTAAATGCCTTGATAATTTATAGATTTTAAAAAGTAGAAAGGGATAAGGATATAAAATAATTGTAAATCTTATAGATGTGCCATAAAAAAATCAGGATTAAATTAACAGACTTATCAAATAGTAATACCCAGATGCAGAAATTTTAAATTAACAAGACATAAAAAGTTATGATGAAAGAATCGTTTATAAAGTCCCAAGTTAACACTTTTTATTCTCTAAGTCATTTTTCTTCTTACAAAATTTAAAGCACAATAAAATAATTGAAGATTTTTCAATTACACAAGCATCTCTTGAAGACATATTTATATAATACTCTTAATACTAAAATGAGCCAAGTAACTAAATTCCAAATAACAACAGATAATCATGCTGTTCTATCTTCTCATTTTTAAGAAGAAGATGAATTAAAATAAACTATTAACCATTTAAAATAATATTTATATGTTTTATTTTATTCTTATTTTAAAATTTATGAAATCTTTTTTCAATCATTATTACTATGCAAATCATTTAAATACAATACAAAAATATTATTTAAGTATTTTATAAATAACTCTAATTGATTATAAAATTTATTACAATATTTTTATTTCATAATTTTAATTAAAATTAATTAAATTTAATTTACTTTTAATCTAAGAACATTTTGTTAAAGTAAAAAAATAAAAATATAAATCTTACTTTTTATTTAAATAAATTACTCTAAAAGATCATTTTTAAATTATTTTTTTACAAAAAATTAACAATATAACAATTAATCTAATAATAAATAATATTTTAATTGTCAAAATAGCATTTATCAATAAAAAAAATAAATTGACCCATATTTTATTTAAATTAATCAAATTTAATTTACTTTTAATCATAGAAAATTTTTGTTCAAGTAATCAAATAAAAATCTTACTTAAATTTAGTTTAATTAAATAACTATCAAAAATCATTTTATTTTAAAATTAAAAATTAAAAAATTGAATAATTAATTTAAGTAAATACTATAAAAAAAATAATTTTACTTATAAAAATGACATTTAATCATTAAAAAAATATGTTAAATCTTTTCTTTATAATTAAATAGTTATTTAATCGACAATATTAAAATTAAAACAAATATTTTCAATTTATTATTTTAATTATTTATTTAATTTTTAGCTAAAATTTAATAATAATTAAAATGCATAATTAAATTTTTTATTAAACATTTTTTAACTAAATTGATTTTTAACTTTTTTATTATCAATTATTTAAAATACTAATTTTAAAATTTGTATTTGTTTTATATTTACATCATAAAACTTTTTTTATAAAAGATAAATAACAAAAAAATAGAAAATATATTTTTACAAGATTATTTATTGGGTAAATTTTATAAAAATAAATTTAATTAATTTTTATACTAAGCAATTGAAATATTTAATGATAGAAAATATTAAATTTATTGATTAATTTAATTTTTTAAATTTTATAAACTTTTTATTATTTATTTTAAATCAAGTTTTTCATAATTTTGGTATAAAGATATTTCCTATGTAAGGATTATTTGGGGTTTGCTGTTTGTTAATTTCGTAGTAATTGTCAGGGAGTATATTTATTAGAGAAATAAAGCATTTTAAAGGGAAGGCTAATTCATAGGCTCTTTTAATATGAATTGTGTGGCCAGTTCTTGGGAACATGAATAAGAAATTTTCTTGGACGTTTTCAAAATTAAAGTTTTTAAGCTGACTGAGATACTTGTTAGAGAGTATTTTTTATTTGGTTTGTTCATCTGTTATTTTGAATACTTATCTAAGATACGTGTTATGGTAGAATTCATAGAATAATAGTTAAGAGTCTACAAGGGGATCTATATCTCCAGTGGCATAGAATCTCAATATGTCTTATTAATTGTGACCTATTTCATAGAATTTAGACCAACCTTCAGGAAAACTAAGGAATTTTTTAAACCAAATCATGAGAGTTTCATGTGTGTCGCACCATATTGGGACTTTCTCATAGACGAAATAATCTCCCATTTAAAATAATTTGAATTTTTCATACAATTTTTCTCTCACTTTAGGATCTTCAAGCTATTCTGGATGCTCTCTTAATTTAAATTCCCTATCAAAGGTGTTAAAGACATGATACATATATAAATGAGCAGGATTCCAAATGATTGTTGGTCCAACTAAATTAATATGGGCTTTACAAATTTCAGGGTATTTCTACTATAGCAATCTTACTACGATATTTCCGCCTGAATATCCAAATAGAATCATTTTTTAACTTATCTTTAAATGCTCTTTGATCAATCTTACAACCAAATCTGCTAATTAAGTTATGTATCCTTTGTAGCTTCCTCTGTTTGTTTCAGTTTCTCCATCAAATCCAGGAACAAATAAATTGATCCATCTACAAAAGTTATTCCCAATATACGTCTCTATGGGCTGCCAATCTCTCCAGTTTCCTATTTAAAATTTTAAGATTAAACTTTTTTGGCATTAGAAATTCGTTAAAATAAGATAGATATTGGTTGAATTGACTCAATTAATTAGCTTTGATTATGAAAAAAATGCAATTATTACGCAATATAAGACGTCTTTATATATTAGATCAATTTCTACTAAAAATAAGATAAAATAACAAAAGATATCAAGCGAAATGATTTTTTTACCTGGGAAGCCATGCACAGTGAGAACAATTTCTTTGCACTCAAAATGTGAATGATCTCCAAGATTGTCTGTGTAAAAGCAAAACCATCCATCATCAAATTAAGCGCGTTTTATGAGATGCGATTTATATTAAACCAAATCCTTTTTTTATTTTTTTACCAATTCAATGCTAAATTTGTTTTAATTTTCTTTGCAAACGGAGTAAATCTTTTCGAAAATGGGAAAATCTGTTTTAAGGAAAATAGATTTAAGCAATTAAAAAAGTGCATTCAATAGAAATCATTTACTTTCTACTCTTGAAAGAGAGGTGTAGCTATATTTTTCATTATTTGTTTCCATTTTTTGTTTGTGAGCTATTTACTTATTATTTATTTTGGGAATATATATTGATATAGATAGATATTTTTGATATTCTTGTTGTGTTAATAGAACTTTTGAAATAAATTACAGTTTTTAAGATAATTAAAATCTAATTATAATTAAATGCTGGTCCTACTATTCATTCTTATTTAAATTAACAAGCTTACTTGAAACTTGCCATTATTGGTAATTAATTTAACAAAGAAATATTAATTTTACTTTTTTATTGCGTCATACTTAAAAAAATTAACTATTCCTTGTGATGTCTTCTACAAATTAAAAGATTTGAAATAGGATTTAAAACAATTAACAAGCATTTATTTCAGTTATAAACTCTCTTTTTTAGCAAATTAAATCTAAAAATATTAAAATTAAAAGAAAAATTTTATTTCCATTCGATTATTTTTAACAAAAATAATGCTAAAAATATTTTTATTGTGATTTTATTTTAAGTAAAAAAGAGTTTATTTATTTTATAATAATTTTTAAAATAATAATTTATGATCAAGTGAATCAAAGTGCACTGCTTATTTTACATTGAAAAAGACCAAGACAATACTAAAAATCAAAGTTATTTGCTTCTTTGGAACATTTATTTCTTATTAAATCTAATTTTAAGAAATATTTGTTTTTTTACTCTCAATCTTACTGAGCTTATCAGAATTAATCAAGTTCATTTATACAGTATTCTATTAAGAAAACATGTCAAATTACTATTTAAAATTCTAAAACTGCATTAAATCAAAGTAAAGCATAGAATCTTCTCTTGCGTCATAATAGTCTTTAACATTTCTAGTAATTCTTCAAATCTTTATAATAACTTGATATTATTACCTAATATTCATATGTCTAAATCCATGAAAGCTAATAGAAGGATATATAGAAATCTTACGTTTTGCTTACTTCTTTCCTTAAGCTTAAAATTTCTTCTTAGTAAAAAATGATAAAATAAAAAAATATATTTTAGTTGCTTTGAAATAAACTGATTTAAAAATTTGTATTTATTTATTTATTTCTTTTTAAACTAATTAAACTACTTGGTTAAATTAATACCTAATAAAAAATGTATGAAAATGTATATATAAAACTATCTTTCTATTTTAAATTTAATATTGCACACTTATAAATATTTATAATAATTTTAAATTAAACGTTGTTTACTGATTTACTTATGACCTAAAACGAGTTTATTTTTCAAAAATTTTACTTAAATTCTGTTATCCTGTTTTAAGAATGCTAAGATAAATTTAAAAAATATTTTTTTCATACTAAATTTTATTTTAAAAATATATCAAGAGGACAACAAAATAATTTTATGTCAAAAATGCTTTTTTTATTTAATTTTTAAATATAATTCTCGGATTATTCTTAATTTATTAGTGTTATTTTGATTTAAATGTTGCTATACATCTATTGTTTATTAAATTTTATTTGAAAATGCTTCATGTAAAAACTAAACAAAGTTTAATGGCAAACATTTTATTTTAGCATTTATTTATTTATATTTTATTTTAATTTTTATTTAAATATGAATATAATTTATTAATATTTATAAATTAAACTCTATTTTGTTTGAAATATAAAGGAAAAATAAACTTGATATCAAGTATTATTTTTTGTTTTTTTTATTTATATATCAAATACTAACACTAAATGTAATTTATTTAATAGAATTCATTGTGTTTATTTAATATTTATAATTAATTAATTAAATAAAAAAAAATTTAATTTATTTAAGAAATAATTTTATTAAATTTGTTTAATTTTTAACAATTTTTTAAAATTTGGCTTCATAATTATGTAGGCTTGCACATTTTAAAAAATCTTTACAGATCTAAAAACAAACTGTTTCTTTGGAACATCTGAGGAAAATTAAATTTTTATTTTCTATAAAGCTTATTGTTTTCTATTTTTAGTAGTTTTTTATGGAAAATAAAAATACTTTCGAATAATTATTGTATTAAAATAAATATTATTTTTTTTGAATGTAAATAAATTTAAATATTGAAATACTTAATTTACTTTGTTACAGTTTGAAATAAAATGAATTTTTATAAAAAGCTTATTATAATAAGATTAAATTAACTTATAATTAATTTCAAACTAATGCTAAACTGAGATAGATCTATTTAATATTTTATTTACATTTAATATATTTTACATAATAAAAACTTTTAAAAATATGAAATAGGCTATTTTAAAATTTAGTTTTGTATCTAAATTATTCAAATTTGTAAATGATACTTGCATAGAAATACTCTCAATTCTAATATTATTTATTGTTTAAAAATTAACTAGCAAAAAAAATAAATATAATAATAATAACTTATGATTTACTCTTTATTAGAAAATTTTATCAGTAAAAGTTTATTAAGTACCACAATTAATTAATAACAAATAATTCAATTAATTAATTAAATAAATAATTAGAAAGCTATTTTGTTCTCTATCTATCTGTCTTGGATTAAATTGAATAATGCTTGAACCTGTTAAAAGAACAAACTTCATTTAAGACCAAGCAAGAGTAAGCAATAAATTTAGAAACAATTAGAATGAAAAAAGTGCTAAAAAAGATAATGAATCGCCACCTTTAACTTCAGTGAATAATTAAAATCATCAATAATTATCATCATCCTCATCATAAAAACAAAATGTAGATGGTTTTTCTATACTTTAAAGATTTTAGATTAAAGGAGGAAACATCAAGCAAAATTTATAGCATTTAGAGTTAGTAAAAACCCACTCAAGTCAAACGAGCAAAAGCAACAACAATTTATCGTGCTAAAATTCAAATAAGCTGCTGCAGGATCCTTTTACTCCAAATTAATCTAAAATATCATTTGGAAATCATAGAAAAAGTGTAAGCACTCTGACTGGCACAAGTGGTAGCACTAAAGGCTTAATGCAATAAAAACTAAACGATTTTCTATTTTATCAAAATTCTTCATCTCAAGCAAGCACAGCTGCAAAGCTCATCCAATCAGATCAGCAGTTTTTTTCTTTTAAAAATAGTTCCTATCTTGGTAATAATTTAAATTAAGGAAATGAAAAAAGAAACTTAGCTCATGAAAATCAGATGAATTCCTCACAAAAATATTTGTGCGTTCCAAAAACTGCAGAAAGTAGAAACAGAATAAGTTAAACAAATCTAACTTCAAAAGTTACATAGGCGTAAATAGAGTAATATCTAAGTAATACTGAGCTTTTAGATAGAGCAGAAGGAAAGTCATTTAAATTTTTCAATTCAAAGAATAATAAGTTCGACTTTGTAGGAAGAAGCTAATCTCTAGTTTCTTCTTAAATCCTCAATTAAGAAACAACCTTAAGTAATAAAGTGTAAATAGACTGTCTCAATCCATACACTCTAACAGCTACAAAAAATGAAAGTCTCTTTTTTTCTTCCCATAACTTCTACTATTTTGTAATACCAATCAGATCAAAGCCATCACCTTTAAAGCTAAGTAATTTAAATACAATATAAATATTTCTGCTCAATTAAAATCCAACAAACTATTCTTAAACAGGAGACAAAAACTAGTCAATAAATCTATCTATCTATCTATTTTTTAGAAATAAAATCAATTTCTCATTCCATTCAAATACTAATTTAAATGATTGCTTGATCTTAATTTAGAAAATCTATTAATAAAGTTTAAAATTATCTCCTTTTTTTGAAATATTAAAGCAGTAACATTATAAAAATAGAAATATTAAAGGTTTCAATACATTTTTACCCTAGTCTTAAACATCAAGCACAAGATTTATTATTCAAATTTACAACAAGAAGCTATTTAGTTATAGCCATGACAAACAAACAAACAAACAAAATATGGATTTATTTTTAGGAAATCATAAAAAAGTTTTAAATATATCAAGCTAAATATTAAGCAAAATAATTCTTCTTGTTTTAAACAAAACAAGAATAATAATAAAAACTAATTTAATGAAAATAGTGCAGCATTTTGTTATAAAATTTGACTGAAAAAACTTAAAATTTTGAAAGTATTAATTGGATTAACAATAAAAATTGATTAAATTAATAAAATTTTTAAAATAAAATAAATTTATCCTTTTAATTAATTTAACATTTTTAATAAAAACTAGCTGTAAAAATAAAGAACGCTTCTGAAGCATCTCAAAATAAATTAAAAGGATTTATTTCTAAAACAGCAAATAGACCAAATACTTTTAACTCAGATGACGAATTTGATGTAAACTATTAAAGATTTTGTTTGTTTGTTTGTTTAAATAATACTTTTTAACTTTATTTTAGTATTTAGTATGAAATAATAATTATTATTGTTGATTAGTTTGTTTTAAAAAACAATTAATAAATAGATTGATTTTAAAAATGTTTAATTGATTAATATAAAGGGAAGATCTTATAAACTTTATGCAGAAGGAGGAAAGAAAATGTTTCATATCGACACTGTGTTTTTGTCACTCTATCCAGAAGTTGATATGACTGTGTAGGTTTAAGTTAGCTTTGGTGAATAAAAAATATAAATGAATGAAGCTTACCAGAAATATAAAAAATAAAAAATGAAAGCAATTGAAGAAGCAAATCAAATACAAATGCAATAAACTAAAGAAAGAGAAATGAAAGTCCAAGAAAGCATTTAAAATGAATAACAAAATAAAGAAAAGCTTTTATTGTTTCACTCAACCAACACATCTCCAATTCAAAGTATGAAAAACTTATCGTTGATAAACAAATCTGAAATTATGCAAAAGGACAGAAAATTTATTATTCAAAGTCAAGAAGGTAAAAAAAGAAAAAATATTACCTAATTCAATAAGTTTAATATGCCTGATATGTTTGATAAATATTAAAAAATGCTAAAACAGAAAGTAAAATAAATCTTTTTTATTTTCCAGCTTTTATTGATTAATTTTCACTTTTTATATTAGGAAGAACATGAAACTAAATAATAAGAAGTTTAAGAAAGGAAAAATTAAATGTTTTAAGAAAAATGCTAAGAAGTTGAAGAAAGGTTTAGAATAAGTTGTTTAAAATCTATTTTTCAAATAGAAAAAAAGAAAATTATTGAAAGAAACTGTAAATATCAATTGTGGTAGCTAGTATGGATTAAACTAATCAAGTCAATTATCTTCCTTAAATTTTTTGCAGAAAAGCTTCGTGCTAAAATGATAAAAAAGCAAATACAACACAGAGCTAAAGTAATTTTTAGTTTTCAAATAAATTATCTAAACAAACAAAAACTCGTCAAATATTTTAAAATAAAAAAATCTTTTCAATAGAAAACAAAAAATTAAATTGATTTAGTTAATAAATTATTTAACTTTATTAGAAAGAATTAATGAAAATAAATAAATAAATAAAGGAATTTCTTAATTTTTGAAAGAAAAAAATATTTTTTTTTAATTAAGCTATTTATTTAAATAAAAGTTTATTGCTATAAGAGCTATTGCAAATTGGATGATTAAATTGAGAAAAATTGGACTCTATCCAGAAAAAAGAGTTTTGAGCTTGAGCTGTATTGTTACCAATAAATTTGCTCAAATTCTGCATTAAAAATGTGAAAAAAAAGCAGAAAATATAATTTCAAATTACCTGCAATAAAGTTCAAAGATAACAGACTTAAAAACAAAGGGAATTAGTTTTGTTTAGAGAGTATTAAATATTTAGAAATAGTGGAGAGAAACCAAATAAAAAAAGAAGAGATTCAAAGAGCTTATTGTACGCTAATTTTCTAACAAATACAGTGATTTGCTTTATGAAATCAAATTGGAAGCTAAAAAGAAACAGGATCCTTATTATCAGCCAAGGTAACAATTATTCATTTATATAATTCAAATAAATAATTATTAATTTACTAATATAGTGGATTGGCTCATTTGAATAATGCAAGAATAACTGACTAGTAAGATATATTCCATTTATACTTATTTATTTACTTCTTAATTGATTTATTTTGAAACATTCATTTCTTTTATAATAAATTAAGTGTTCTAGTTTATCAGATAGTGTAAAATTATCTTTCTTAACATTGGCAAAGATATGTTTAGCTGTATGAATCATATAGAGGATCCATGATTATACTCTAATAAATGAGCATTGAAGTAAAATTTTGTTTATTTATTTGTTGATTTGTTTTAATTACTTTTATCATTAATTTACAAAAGAACAAAAAGAATTACTCCATTTCAGTTGCAATGAAAAAACCTTTATTTTTCAAATTGCCTACTAATAATTAATTAAAGAGTATGGTAAAAGAATATGCAGAAGCAAAATAATTAATAAATTGAGATATTCACTTAATAAATCTTTGAATTGGCCGATTTCAATTAAATAAATCTTACAATATAAATATTTAAATTAAAGACTTTATTTAAAATATTTTCAAATAATTTCAATTATCACCTTTGAAAGTATTTTGAGAAATTTTTTAGCTAGCAAGCTAGCTTTAAAATAATAAGGAATTAGTTTTAAAATAAATTTCAAACTCTAGTTTAAATAAACTTATAAAAGCCATATTAATAGTTAAATAAATAAATAAACAAACAAACTAATAAATAAATAAATAATTGAGAAATCAATATTTAATAACTATAAATGAATTTAATAACCAATATTTTATCTAATTATCAATAAAAACTAAAATATTTACTCTTTTTAATGTATTTGTATTTAATTTATAATTAGTTACAACATAATTTATATATAAATCAATCAATCAAGTTTATCTTAATCATTTTTTTACTCATCTGAAAACAAAAAAATTTTATGTGTTAATTAATTAATTAATCAATCAATCAACCAATTTATTTGTTTGTTTGTTTTTGTTTAATTAATTCCTTTTGTAAATTTAAAATATCTTTTTGGCTAGTTTCTCAAATTCCCTTTTTTAGGATTTCTTGATACTTGCTAACAGTCTCATCTAGCTTTGAATGGAACTTTTTAGTTAGTTAATGATCATCTATATTTTGGTTAAAGGGATTTAAAATATCTTATCTATAGAACTAATAAATTTCATTCATCAAATTTTTGATATGTCTTTCATCATAGTTTGCCATATTGCTTTTTTGACGCAAAATGACTAAAATCTTCAACTATCCAACTGTATAATAACCATAAATATCAAATTCATCTTCAGCAAGATAAACTGAATTTAAACAACCTAAAAATGAGCTAATCTATGATTTATTTTCTGTGACTAAAATCTTTTTGGTAATTTGATTATCAATCATATCTAATGTGGCAAATATATTCATTTAAAAGTTTAATTCTTCTTGCTTTGAATGGTTGTAGTTTTTCATTAAAATTGGCTCGTTCTTATTGTTTATTATCGAAACATAAACAATAGAATTTTTCAATTTCTCGTTCATCTTTCACTAATTTCTGACTTTTATATATATATTCCCTAAATTCTAATTTATATTTTAGCTTTATTTCCTTCTTGAATAAAATTTCTTTTTCAAACTATTTCAATTACTTTCTTTTTGCTTATAAAATTAATTATATATGATTGATTAATTAATTAATTAAATGACCACAATATATTTGATATTTAATAAAGAATATTATATTCTAATATAATTTATTTCTCGCTCAACATCTGTTTATTTATTTAATAAAATAATAAATTTTATGTTTTAATTTTTTCTTACATTTAATTTTTAACTAATTATTTTCTTTTTTTATAAATTAAATTTATTTTTATTTATCATTAAACTGAAAAAAAATTTTTACAACCAATTTTAGTCATTTTATGAATTAATATACATTCTCTAAAAGTTTTATTGAAGAATAGATTATTTTAAGATATTAGAATATACTTTAATATGCTTAAAATAATGATTAATTGAGCATATTTTGAGGAAGACACTTCCCCTAAAAGAGGAAAATAAATCCTGTAGTTCCTCAATAATTATGGCACCAAGATATAAACACTAATTTTTGTAGAAAGAAATATAACACAAAAATTAAAATAAAAAGTAAAATTTGATTTCTCCCTAAGGTTTTATTTAAATCATGGTATCTAATTAATTAATCATGATAAATAAAAAAAGGATAGAAATATGATTCATGGATAATATTTAAGATAATAATATAACTGGCATATAAAAGCTTGGTATTTTTTTAATTTAATAAGATATATTAAACTAAAAGTTCCAAATTATTTGATCGTTTTTGGAGAATTCGGAGGGTTTGCTTAAGAGGATTTAATTTATTTAAGTAAATTTAATTTTTAAATTTTTTTATTTTTAATAAATAATTTATTTACTTACAAAAATATGAATGATATTTATAAATTTAAAATCAATAATAACAACTATAAATCTATTTATATTTTAGGTTAAAAACACTTTTTAAAAATATTAAATAATAAAATATATCATATTATTCAAACATTTTATATTGATTCATCCTTTTTTCACCAGCTGTTTATCATTAGAAATTTAAATTAAAGACAACTAATCTTTATGATTTAAGACACTTGCCTTTTACTTTGAATTTTTATGAAAATTCCATTGAGCTAAAAATTTTAAAATAAATCTGTGTAAATTTTAAATAAATATCAAAATAGAATAAACTTTTAAATTATAAATTATTCTTTAAATTCATAAATAAAATAATATTAGTGCAATAAAAAAGATAAAAAAATAAATCAAATAAATGCTAGATTTTTATAATAAACCTATAGAACCTAAAATGTTTTATTTACAAATTATCTCCTTATATCTATATAAATACATAATAAAACAAATAAAAATATATATAAACAAAATAAAATTTAATTTTAATTTTAAGATGTATTCTGAGTGCATTTATATGTGCGAGTATTTCTATTCTATTCTATCACCAATTTAATTTCCACTTTTTAAATATTGAAGAAAAAATATATCATTAAATAGTTAATTAGAAGGAAAAAATGAAGAAAAATATGAAATAATAAAATTAATTAATAATAAAAGCAAATGAATAAAATAAATGATGAGCTTAATTAACAAAGGAAAAACAAAACAGCAAGCACGATAAAAAGAAAAAGAAAAAAGAGCTTTATTGTTTTTAATTAGTTTTTATAATTAAAAATATCACAATCCAAAACAAATAAACTGTTTATACTCAAGTTCAAGTGTCAAATTTGAGAGATTAATGCATTTTGCTAAAGCAGAACCTAAGCCTGATGCACCTTCATCACCAATTTAATTTTCACTTTTTAAATATTTAAGAAAAAATATATCATTAAATAGTTAATTAGAAGGAAAAAATGAAGAAAAAATATGAAATAATAAAATTAATTAATAATAAAAGCAAATGAATAAAATAAATGATGAGCTTAATTAACAAAGGAAAAACAAAACAGCAAGCACGATAAAAAGAAAAAGAAAAAAGAGCTTTATTGTTTTTAATTAGTTTTTATAATTAAAAATATCACAATCCAAAACAAATAAACTGTTTTTACTCAAGGTTAAGTGTCAAATTTGAGAGATTAATGCATTTTGCTAAAGCTGAACCTAAGCCTGATGCACCCATTGCACCAATTTAATTGTTACTTTTTAAATATTGAAGAAAAAATATATCATTAAATAGTTAATTAGAAGGAAAAAATGAAGAAAAAATATGAAATAATAAAATTAATTAATAATAAAAGCAAATGAATAAAATAAATGATGAGCTTAATTAACAAAGAAAAAACAAAACAGCAAGCACGATAAAAAGAAAAAGAAAAAAGAGCTTTATTGTTTTTAATTAGTTTTTATAATTAAAAATATCACAATCCAAAACAAATAAACTGTTTTTACTCAAGGTTAAGTGTCAAATTTGAGAGATTAATGCATTTTGCTAAAGTTGAACCTAAGCCTGATGCACCCATTGCACCAATTTTATTGTTACTTTTTAAATATTGAAGAAAAAATATATCATTAAATAGTTAATTAGAAGGAAAAAATGAAGAAAAAATATGAAATAATAAAATTAATTAATAATAAAAGCAAATGAATAAAATAAATGATGAGCTTAATTAACAAAGAAAAAACAAAACAGCAAGCACGATAAAAAGAAAAAGAAAAAAGAGCTTTATTGTTTTTAATTAGTTTTTATAATTAAAAATATCACAATCCAAAACAAATAAAGTGTTTTTACTAAAGGTTAAGTGTCAAATTTGAGAGATTAATGCATTTTGCTAAAGCTGAACCTAAGTCTGATGCACCTTCATCACCAATTTAAAAAAGAAGGGCTAAGCGACTCGAGTGGGCGAGTCGGAGGGTCTTAGCAGTGATATCGGGGGTTCGAATCCTATACCGCCCCCTTTATTTCGAAAAATTCCATGTAAAAATGTGAATGTTACCAGCGGTCTCCTTGGTAGGAGGGAAGGGCCAAATCTGATAGGTGGTAAAGAGGAGGCCCCATTCTGAACAGAAGATCTGGAATACAAATGGGAAGCGAGCATAATGCGTAGTCAAATCATGGAAGATTAGTAGAAATGCCATTAGGGTGTAGGTGACCCTTCCCTTCTAATATATTACCCACAATTATATATAAATAAATTGGTATACGTATAATAATAATGTATAAGTAATTATATATAGGGCCCCTATCCCGAGTGCATGTCACCATGTGCGAGTATGTATGTATGTATGTATCACCAATTTAATTTCTACTTTTTAAATATTGAAGAAAAAATATATCATTAAATAGTTAATTAGAAGGAAAAAATGAAGAAAAAATATGAAATAATAAAATTAATTAATAATAAAAGCAAATGAATAAAATAAATGATGAGCTTAATTAACAAAGGAAAAACAAAACAGCAAGCATGATAAAAAGAAAAAGAAAAAAGAGCTTTATTGTTTTTAATTAGTTTTTATAATTAAAAATATCACAATCCAAAACAAATAAACTGTTTATACTCAAGTTCAAGTGTCAAATTTGAGAGATTAATGCATTTTGCTAAAGCAGAACCTAAGCCTGATGCACCTTCATCACCAATTTAATTTCCACTTTTTAAATATTGAAGAAAAAATATATCATTAAATAGTTAATTAGAAGGAAAAAATGAAGAAAAAATATGAAATAATAAAATTAATTAATAATAAAAGCAAATGAATAAAATAAATGATGAGCTTAATTAACAAAGAAAAAATAAAACAGCAAGCACGATAAAAAGAAAAAGAAAAAAGAGCTTTATTGTTTTTAATTAGTTTTTATAATTAAAAATATCACAATCCAAAACAAATAAAGTGTTTTTACAGAAGGTTAAGTGTCAAATTTGAGAGATTAATGCATTTTGCTAAAGCTGAACCTAAGCCTGATGCACCCATTGCACCAATTTAATTGTAACTTTTTAAATATTTAAGAAAAAATATATCATTAAATAGTTAATTAGAAGGAAAAAATGAAGAAAAAATATGAAATAATAAAATTAATTAATAATAAAAGCAAATGAATAAAATAAATGATGAGCTTAATTAACAAAGAAAAAACAAAACAGCAAGCACGATAAAAAGAAAAAGAAAAAAGAGCTTTATTGTTTTTAATTAGTTTTTATAATTAAAAATATCACAATCCAAAACAAATAAAGTGTTTTTACTAAAGGTTAAGTGTCAAATTTGAGAGATTAATGCATTTTGCTAAAGCTGAACCTAAGTCTGATGCACCTTCATCACCAATTTAAAAAAGAAGGGCTAAGCGACTCGAGTGGGCGAGTCGGAGGGTCTTAGCAGTGATATCGGGGGTTCGAATCCTATACCGCCCCCTTTATTTCGAAAAATTCCATGTAAAAATGTGAATGTTACCAGCGGTCTCCTTGGTAGGAGGGAAGGGCCAAATCTGATAGGTGGTAAAGAGGAGGCCCCATTCTGAACAGAAGATCTGGAATACAAATGGGAAGCGAGCATAATGCGTAGTCAAATCATGGAAGATTAGTAGAAATGCCATTAGGGTGTAGGTGACCCTTCCCTTCTAATATATTACCCACAATTATATATAAATAAATTGGTATACGTATAATAATAATGTATAAGTAATTATATATAGGGCCCCTATCCCGAGTGCATGTCACCATGTGCGAGTATGTATGTATGTATGTATCACCAATTTAATTTCTACTTTTTAAATATTGAAGAAAAAATATATCATTAAATAGTTAATTAGAAGGAAAAAATGAAGAAAAAATATGAAATAATAAAATTAATTAATAATAAAAGCAAATGAATAAAAATAAATGATGAG